TGGAGTAAGGGGAATGTGTGTGTGTGTGTGTGTGTGGGTTGAGATTACAAAGTACCTCTCTGACTACCACACTAGCCTCCGTCAACCATGAGACACCAAGTTATAACAGACAGGATACATTAGCAGAGCTATAAATAATACCAAACCCTCATGCTCGCTGCATCGTTGCTATAGCAATGGGTATAACAAGACATTAAATCATGAAATAAATCAGACATAGGATTGAGAGGTCTGGCTCAGGCTGGCTGGTGAGTTTGCTTCCTGCTCTTCCTGCTGAGCACCTGCCTGTCCCTGTCCACGTATAATTAAGGCTGATTTATGGAGAGGATCGTTAGGGGATGAGCAGGGGGATCAGGGATGCACAAATGGAGAGCAGGGTCCTCTGGGAAATCACAAGGTAAAAACAGACTCTCTTTCTCCTCTCCTCTCCTCTCCTCTCCTCTCCTCTCCTCTCCTCTCCTCTCCTCTCCTCTCCTCTCCTCTCCTCTCCTCTCCTGTTCTCTCCTCTCCTGTTCTCTCCTCTCCTCCCTCTCCTCTCCTCTCCTCTCCTCTCCTCTCCTCTCCTCTCCTCTCCTCTCCTCTCCTCTCCTCTCCTCTCCTCTCCTCTCCTCTACTCTCCTGTCTTCCCCTCTTCTTCCCCTCTTCTTCCTACTCGGTCCTTGTGGCAAATCTATATTATCTGTTTTTGTTTCTGATGTATCACTCAATGACTCAAATAGTGTACAGTAGTGATCACTGTAGGTCAGGGTGCATCTGAATGAGCACAGTTTGTATCGTGGTCTTACTCCACAGTACCATTGGGTGGCGCTGTGCCACTCTCCTCTTATTGAGAGATCCTGGCAATTCAGTGGACCAACCCAAATATCCTCTGGGTGAATAGATTAAGAGGCGAGCCAAAGCAGCTTCTATCTCTCCCTCCAGGAGTCTGTTTGTTTTTCCTTTCATGGCTGGAAAAGCGTCTTCCCCCTCTCCCAAGGCCCACTTCCACCCCTGTGGACACATCTGTGTGAGCACTGAGCCCTCGGCCCCGACCCAGACAGAACCTTCACAACCCTAGGAATGTCTGTGGTGTTCTGGGGTCTGCCAGGGGGTCCAACAGGGAATCAGACCAGTAGAGGCTTAGACTGGTTCACCATCTACAACTACCCCCTTCTTCCTCCTCTTCTCATAGACTGATGTGAACTCTCCAGAGCTTGCTCTGAATGTCTGTAGCCCCAGGATGATTCTAGTTTATTCTCAGTAGTATAGATTCTCATAGATAAAAAAAAAAAGGCTAGCTCCCATTCAGTTAATGTTAGCTCCCATTCAATGTGTGAGTTTCTACCCATTATCCAGGATGGTAGTTAACAAACACCTTGAATGCTCAGCATCTTGTTTTGTTTTTTTGTTCTGTAGGGTTGTTTCTCTAAACCCTTCAGTCCTCTTCATGTGTTTATTTACTGTTTCTCATCTGACCTGGTTCAGATCATACTTATAGACCTATCTATGGCTCTGTCTGATTGGACTATCATTGAGTAGGTTTACATCCACTCTAATAATTAGATATTAAATTGATTATGACACTGGGCTGAGTATGCCATTAGCAAGTTGATGTTTATTGGGATGAGTCTTGTCCTTGAGCTGAGTGATTTCCACTAGATGGGCCAGTTGCAAAGTCAAAATTGTCTATATCGTAAAAATTAATGAACATTTGTTTTGCTTTTTGGTCTTAATTTAAGGTTGGGTCGGCAGGTAGCTTAGTGGTTAAGAGAAAAATCTGTTGATGTGCTCTTGAGCAAGGCACTTAACCCTAATTGCTCCTGTAAGTCGCTCTGGATAAGAGCGTCTGCTAAATGTCGTCCGGGTTAAGGGAGGGTTTGGCCGGCAGGGCTGTCCTTGTCCCATTGCGACTCCTTGTGGCGGGCCGGGTGCATGCACGCTGACTTCAGACACCAGTTGTACAGTGTTTCCTCCGACACATTGGTGCAGCTGGCTTCCGGGTTAAGCGAGCAGTGCGGCTTGGCAAGGTCATGTTTTGGAGTCCGTACGGGAGCTGCAGCAATGGGACAAGACTGTAACTACCAATTGGATATCATGAAAAAGGGGTAAAAAAAAATACATTCCGATTTTATGACTTTGTGTCTGTGCCAGGTGGTAACCACATTCAGAACAAGGTTCATGACGAAAAACGCTAACCTGCATGGCATTAGTCATGTAAACACCTTACTCTGCTTATCTTAATCGACATAAGGTCAAAATCTAAGTAAGCATATGCCAATTAAAACAACTTGTTTTCTGAGCAAGCGTTCTAATTATTAGGACATGTAAACAGCTTAATCGGAGTTCCAGCGGTGGATTTGATATACGCATGTGCCAGCACCAGCAGCATTTGGAAAAACTGAAAGTATGCATCTTAAAAATAGTTTTCACATGCAAACTTTATACGTCCGAACTCAGAATCAAATAGGCTTCCTAAAAATAACATGGTCGCGATTGGCGATTTTCTGCAATTTATCAAAATCCCTTTAGGTAGCCTGATTTCAGATTTGTCCATGTAAACAGGATTATTAGGGAAATTGTTCTTCTTGCAAAGCATGTAAACGTTTTAATCAAACTATTTTAAATCTGACTATTCACAATAATCATATTATTGTGTGCATTTACACGTACCCATTGACATGTTCAGTACCACGGATAGCTCCCATAATTCAGTATCTTGAATAGAGAATTGGTTCGATTCTCCCTAACTAGCCACCAACTCTGATGTAGACAATCCGAGATCACACTGTGAATCAAAGGTCATCTGAACTCCATGGAACTGATGAGTATAAATAACAACAAAGTCTGCGTGAATTCATCAGTCAATACCAGCTGATTCATTATTTACCTCCTCAATACCTCCCTGTGTGTCACCATCGTCGTAATGAGTGGACCAAGGCGCAGCGTGAAATGCGTACATCTTTTATTGAGTACTATAACAATAACAAAACGAAACGTGAAGTCCTCGGTCATAAACACAAACCTACACGGAACAAGATCCCACAAAAGACAAGTGCACAACAGGCTGCCTAAGTATGGTTCCCAATCAGAGACAACGAGCCACAGCTGTCTCTAATTGGGAACCACCCCGGCCAACATAGAAACACATAAACTAGAACAAGAACATAGAAAACGAAACATAGAACCTAACACCCAGAAACTAACACATAGAAACTAACACCTCAACATATAAAAGTCCCCAGAGCCAGGGCGTGACACTGTGCCTCTTCAGTAAAGGTCTATAGTCTTTATGTAAGCACAGAGGAGGTTGATTCTGTAATTATGCTGTCAGATGTAGTGTGGTATATTTCTGTTTGAAAGGCACTGTACCGCAGTTGTGAGTTCTGAGACTTAGATTATCAGGCCGCTACAGTATGATGATGTGGGATTACTGGGTCTCTCCAGGAGTGGGATAACAAATCATGGGGGTGAGGTGGGTTGTGTGTTTAAGGTTTTGAATGTGTGTGTGTGTGTGTGTGTGGTGTGTGTGTGTGTGTATGTGTATGTGTATGTGTATGTGTATGTGTATGTGTATGTGATGTGTGTGTGGTTGTGTGTGTGTGTGGTGTGTGTGTGTATGTGATGTGTGTGTGTGTGGTTGTGTGTGTGTGGTGTGTGTGTGTGTGAGATGTGTGTGTGGTTGTGTGTGTGTGGTTGTGTGTGTGTGTGTGGTTGTGTGTGTGTGGTGTGTGTGTATGTGTGTGTATGTTATGTGTGTGTGGTTGTGTGTGTGTGTGATGTGTGTGCATGTGATGTGTGTGTGTGGTTGTGTGTGTGTATAAAATAGTGAGCGTATATGAATACAAAAATATCTCTCTAATCTAACCCTTCTTTGTCTCTATCATCAGATTTCTCCTTGTCTCTCAGAAAGAGGGGTCCACAGAGAAAAAACATGAAGACCAGTCTTTAGTAATGGGAGGGATGAGAGGGTGATTATCAGGAGACAGATAGCAGATAACAGCTGTCATTGGTAAATTATGACTTTCATAATTAAAAAGCCTTTTGGGGGGCCGAGGAACAAAAGAGAAAATCACACACATGATAAATTATTCTCTCATCTTTTTAGGGCTGATAGGACCCACCAGGATATTCATATCAGCTCGTTATTGCTTTCTAGGAATGATCCGGAATATGATTTCAAAGAATGCCTCCCTCTCGCTTAACTGTAACACTGCCAGAGCTATTCGAGTGAGTTATATAGCTAGTGCTGTTTAAAGGAGAGAAATGGGTCAAATCCGCTTAAATGAAAGACTATTGTTTTGTATTTGTTTCTGTTCTTTATACTGTATGATTCACCTCCCGTGGGGAAAACACCCAGCCCAGATGTACATGTTTGTGATGGTGGATCTGATAGCAGAGCATCCCTTTGAGGAGTATGCAGTATCTGATCAGACAGACAGGACTACTGTCTGCTCCCCTGCAGGAAGGAGCCGTGGAACAGCCGCATGCCTTAGAACTACACATGGTATCTGTGGGGAAGAGAGAGAGAGAGAGAGAGAGAGAGAGAGAGAGAGAGAGAGAGAGATATGAGAGAGAGAGGAGAGGAGAGAGAGGAGAGAGAGAGAGCGAGAGAGAGAGAGAGAGACGACAGAGAGAGACAGAGAGAGAAGAGAGAGATGAGAGAGATAGGAGAGTAGAGAGAGAGAGAGTGGGGGGTGGGGTGGTTTGTGGGGGGGGCGGAAGAGAGAAAGAAAGGGGAAAGTGCAAAAATATAGAAACCAGATAATTGGTAGGAAGAAAAATGTGAAGAAAAAAATATGCTGCTCATAGGAAATTCCAGCACGTTTATCCTGGCAATGCCTGTGTTTTAGTGCATGAGTATGTGCTGTCGGGGTATAGAGCGCATACTGCCCCCCCCCCCACCACTCCATCCCAACCTGCCACACGCCCCCCTCTCTCACCAATCCCCCCCACAACAGGGCATGGGCTGGCGTGACATCACCCATTCCCACACGCTGTGATTGGTTGGCGAGAGGAGGGAAATGGATTGTTCCTGCAGCCGACTGAGAGAGAAAGCGCGAGAGAGAGAGGAAGAGAGAGAGAGCGATGCTGAGAGAAGTCGGCTCTGCACAGCATACTGACACATGCACACACACTTTCCCCCCAACACATACACTCACACACACTCTCCCTGATACGCAATCTGCTTAGGATGCAAGATAAACACTGACAGGGAAAACTAAGACTGGGTGAACAGCCTGTTTGACTGCTGAGGAACACAGAAGACAACAGGACAAGAGGAAGAGGAAGAGGTTACTACCTTCATCCCTGCTGTGTCGTACAGCAACAGTTTCACTGCTGTCATCTGGACATCCAACAAGAGCCAGCTTCCAGAGAGAGGGGACACTGAAGACACACCTCCCCAAACAGGGAGAGGTAGCAAGGGCAGGACGAAGGGTGATTGTACCCCCACCTTGGAGGTTTTTTGACATTCCCTGTGGATGTCCTCTCCACGTCCCCATGAAGGCAGGGGAGGTTCTAGGAGAAGTCTGGATCACAAGATGGCACAGAGATCAGGAGGGGACGGCACCCCGAAAAAGAACACATCCCTCAACCTGGTCACAGGGTTCTTTCACTACCTCCGTGGTAAGTGGGACATAGTGTGTGTGTGCGTGTTGGGGCAAAGTGTGTGTGTATGTTTGGGCAAAGCGTGTGTGTGTGTGTATGTGTGGTTGAAAGAGGGAGAATGGAGTAAGTGTGTCTGTGATTGAGAGTGTATGCAGTGTGTGTGTGTGGTGTGTGTATGAGAGAGTGAGAGAGTGTGAGAGAGAGAACATTTGCATTCGCCCTTCCAATTTAGCCTTTCAGGCAGGACACCACTGGTGGGGTAGCGGTTGTAATGGGGGACAGGGGAGGTATTGGGGGGCAGTAAAGGGGGCGTTTCCACCTCGGTAGTGGGGCATATAGAGGTCGCTCATCACTGTGCCTGCAGCAGGTGAACCAGGTATAATGAGCAGATGAATACCGCTGGCTGTGTCACGGTTCACTGACCCTCTGCCTATCTGTCTGTCTACTTGTCTGTCTACCAGCCAGTCTGTCTGTCATTTGTCTGTCTGTCTGTCTACCTGTGTTCTGCCTGTTCGTCTATCTGTCTGTCTCTGTCACTGTCTGTCTGTCTGTCTGTCTGTCTGTCTGTCTGTCTGAAAGGGGATCGCTACTCCAGTCACATCATAGTCAGTCGGCAGATAACTGCCCCAGATTATAGTGTTCGTCATAATGTTGTTTCACTAAGGTAACTTTCCCCATAGGGGTCAGGGAGGGGAGAGTGTGACTGGGATGAGACTAACGATCGTGGCTATTCTGACTAATCAAGCGTGTCAAAACGCTGCTGTGAGGTTTTGTTGCTGAGAAAGGCTATTTCCTTTGTGATTATTGAATGGAAGTGTGTATGTATGTGAGAGAGTGTAGTGTGTGTATGTGTGGGTGTGCAGTGTTTCCTCTAGGATTTATTTTGGAGGGGGGTCATTTAAAAGCGCATCTCGGCAGAAATATATAATATTTTTTGCAGCGGTGGCAACAATTTAGCAGCGGTGGGCCACGAATATAGAGGAATAACAGTGTGTGTGTGTGCCGCTCAAAGTCACCTCGTCCCTGAGATGGAGAGAGCTTGGCACCACACACACATAGACCCCCACCAACAGTCCTCCTTTCTCTCACTCACACACACACACACACACACAGACATTTTCATCAGTTAGTCTCCTCAGTATTTTTGCCCTGATACGGACCTGATCAAACAATTAATCCCCAAAACCAGGACCTGCTCTGTGACACGTGTGAAAGTGTGTGAATGTGGGACTGCATTATGTATGAACACCTCCCTCCCTCCTCCTCCATCCCTCCTTCCCTCTGCATCTACCTACATTAGTCAGTGACACACTAACCGACTTGTGTGTAATCAATCAGTCAGTGTGTTTCATTACGGCAGGCAGGCAGGGGAAAGCACTGTGTCAGATGTCCTCTCTGGGTGATAAGGCGATTATCTCAAGGATTTTTCTCACTGCTGCAGCCGGGGTGAAGAAAAGCTAGCCGTCACTTGTGCCAGTCAAAATTATATACATTGTGTGTTTTGGATGGGGTGACTGGAATAAGATTGATGTGTTTACGCAGTGTAATATGTGACAGTGTGATAGAAATGGTTTTGTGGATTGTTGGGCTATAAATCTGTGTAATTCTATAGGGATGATGAATTGCAGTGTATGTGTGGTGAATATCGAATGGAATATGATGTCCCATTAATGTGTTGATATATGAGACAGTGTGATAGTGATACACAGTTTTCTGCAGATTATTGTGGTGTGAGTCTGTCTGATTCTTTAGTGATGGATGAAATACAGTTTACTCCAATGAATCTTCTAGTAACATGACGTTCAAACAGTATTCCCCACTTTTGACCAGAAAGTTGCTCTTCTTCTTCTTCTTCTTCTTCTTCTTCTTCTTCTTCTTCTTCCTTTCTCCCGCTCTCTCTTTCTCTTTCTCTCTCCCTCTATCTCTGTTAGTCAATCTTTCTCTCAGTGTGAAGGACCCACCAGCGATTTATGCTTTGTCCTAATTTAAGTGGATTAGCTTTTTAAGGTACATCGTCAGTAGTATTGATTGTGCCTTTGCTAATAGATTTTTATTGCTGGAACCATAACAAACTGTGCCCTTCACTTCCAAATAAATATGCACAACACACATGACATTATGTACTTTTATGGTAATCAACATACTGAACAGGCAAAGAGATAGTTGGGGGCTTATTGTGAAATGCAGGAATTAGACATGGCCTTCTGTCACTCATGACCCATTTTTTTCATAAAAGGGCATCCTTTTAAAAAGGCACATGTTTATCAATCAGCTTGAAGAGGGGATAGGTTGGTGAAAATGCCATCTGAATGTCAGATCTATTCTCATTGAGCAAAGTACAGTAGAGCAGAGCCAGCTAACCACTTAGAGACATTAGGCATAGCAATGCACTGGATATGGAAGTTGTTAATCAGAGTCATCATCCATTAATAAGGCCTAACTCAAGCTATTTTCATAACAGTGCAGTACAGTTAGAAGAAAATATATCCTGTCCATTCTGTTTGTTTGTTTACAAAGCATGTGACCATTATGTTTATGATTTTCAGATGATCAAGAGGCGGTGCAGAAGAGGACGTTCACTAAATGGATCAATTCCCACTTGGCAAAGGTAAGAGTTTGTCGTCTGTCTTACTGACTGTCTGTCTGGCAGGTCTTTGTAGTCATTGTTGTGCAAATACAAAAGGGACTACATTATAATATGCCATTTAGCAGACGCTTTTATCCAAAGCGACTTACAGTCATGCGTGCATACATTTTTGTGTATGGGTGGTCCCGGGGATCGAACCCACTACCTTGGCGTTACAAGCGCCGTGCTCTACCAGCTGAGCTACAGAGGACCATTACACTAAAAGGGGCATTATCACCATTTTCATAGTATTATTCCAACCTCATAGTGTGGAAATATATATAAAACACAGGAAAACAATGTGTTCACTGCACTGGGCCTTTAAAGGTATTAGGCTAACCAGTCATGAGACTTGGTTGTACCACCCCCTAGATCACATGCAGGCCAGACACACATGCATGCGCAGCACACAAGCTCTCATCTGTAAGTCACACTACTGTTCCTTCTCACCTGACCTTACATCAGATAGCCTGTGGACAGCTTTCAGTCTTAACTCATACAAAAGTAATTATAGCTATTTGCTTTCAACAAAAGCAATTTCTGTTTTTTTCCCCTCCAGTACAGTGTACTAAATTAGGATCTGTATCATTTCATATTTATGACGTTTTCCATCTCTGCAGGCTATAGTCTAGACAAGGTTTGGGCTCAGAGATTGGGGCTAAAACAGAACCCTACTCTTCCTTTGCAATTAATTTGGATTGTTCTGGATAAGAGCGCAAATCCTTCATTTGCCTTCCTATTAGGCTTATCCTACCATTTAAGCAACAGTGTTTCTGTAACCTAAACTATTACAGTTGCCGCAACCGCATGCCTTGGTCTGTCATGTGCATGTAATTATGGTATTATAACGTATTAGGCTCCTCAATTTAACCCATTACTGCTTGAAGAGCATGTCGGGGAGCGAGTGGACAAGGCGACCGCGGCACAGTGCCACGCAATTAAACGCTATTTCAATCCGAGCCGCCGCCGCTCTCAAGGTTTCCAATTTGATTACGACAGTGGCCGCATTCATCTGCGGTGACGCGGAGCAGAAAATTCATTTGAGGAGGCAGTCTGCAGGGAATAAACCTTGACATGATATTAAATATCAGATATCAGGACCTTTGCAGCAGAAAATTACTCACCACCAAAATATTTAAATGTCCTAGATGTGTTATAGCGTTTAAAGTAAAGACCTAATCATTTATTTATTGCACTTTCTCCCCACACAGCAAATAGATTAAAGACATCCTCCAGCGATTTTTTATATCCCAAGTATAAATACAGTACGCATACTAAAATAAGTACACACACTAAAGGGTAAAATAAACAGTTTTGAGGAAAATATCTGCAAACTTCAAGGTGTAGGGCATTCAAAGACTTGGTCTGACAGAGATTCGTTATGTCGTCTCCCCCCCATTTGCTTGAGGAACAATAGAGGAGCAATAGAGAACAGAAGAGGAAAGCCCCCCCCCCCCCCCACCCCGTGCTATGTCAAGAGGATACCTGGACCACCTATTGAGATGTGCCTTTTGTTATGTAAATCAGGTGAATGAGCTGAATAGGAGACTGGAGTAGGACTTTTTAAAGTCATGTAGGGCGGTGCTTTACGCCCTGCTTCTGGGCTACATACATGTCATATTAACAACCTAATTTTATCCTAATCACCAACCTGAAACTCTGTGGATGATATCTCATCAAACCATCTGGAACGGTGTTGATCCCCCATCAACATTTGTGGTCCTCTGTAGCTCAGCTGGTAGAGCACGGCGCTTGTAACGCCAAGGTAGTGGGTTCGATCCCCGGGACCACCCATACACAAAAAAATGTATGAACGCATGACTGTAAGTCGCTTTGGATAAAAGCGTCTGCTAAATGGCATATTATTATTATCAAAGCACTGGGGAAGATGAACAATATCAAGATAGGGGAAACAGGCTAGACTTCCTGACATAGTTTGCTCTTTACGGTTAAACTCGATATGTTTGATTTAGGCTATTCTGGAATGATTATATCGCTGCTCTGTGCTCTGTCTAAATAGCTTTTAAATTCTTAAAGGTAATTGCTTAGCTTTTTTTCTGACTCGTCTCCTGTTGATTAAATCCCCCCCCCCCGCCTCCCGCCATCCCTTCTTCATGGCGCAAGCCTATTAACCTCTTCCTCCTCGAGCATGATGTTACCGTAGCGACCGATGTCAGCATGTAGGTCTATTTGTCTTAGTGGATTGCTTTGTGTCAGGTTGGTAAACGGGTTGGTAAACGGGTTGGTAAACTGAAATGGCGAAGAGAACATAGAGGGTGTCTCTCTGAGGTTGCCTTGTTGAGGGAAATAATTATGCCTGTGGTGAAGTGCTGTTGGCTGAAACCTAGCTTACTAAACTCCACTCCATGGTGAAGGAAGTTTCTGATAAACTCCACCAACAGAGTGGAGCAGAGACCAGGCTTTGTGGAATTCATCTCTAACTACATTGATTCGCCCAAGGTCAATACTTAAAAAAATTACAATTATGAAACGCTTACCTGATACCTATGTTTGTCCTCTGTAGTTGGGTGCCTTTCTTTGCTTTTTCAATAAACGTTAATCAAATACAACCACCAACTGTTACCTTGTTGAGGTTCAATTGGCACATGCATGTTTGCGCTGATTTGCCATCTTAGAGCAACAGCAATGTGCAAACAGTCAGTGGCTGTATTTGATTAACGTTTATTGAAAAAGTACAAGTATTTCAGCAAACAAAGGCACGCAACTACAGAGGACAAACAGAGGTACAAAGTAAGCATTTCCTAATATAAAAAAAAAAGCATTGACCTTGGGCAAATCAATGTAGTGAGAGCTGAATTCCACAAAGCCTGGTCCCTGCTACACTCCGTTGGTGAAGTTCATCAGAAACGTCCTTCACCATAGAGTGAAGTTTAGTCAGCTAGCTAAAACCAAGCCTATGGGCTCCTCTATATATGTTTGCCTTTGAATGACCTGCAGTAAAACAAACAAGTTGAAATACTTTCTTTTATAAAACCCCATGTAGAAAAATGTTGTGAGGCCCTTTTTAACTAGTCCCTTGGAGAGAGAGGGAGAGGCAAGCTAGCTGAGATAGTGGGTTAAGCACAGCTCTCCAGGGGTAGTAGGTCATTACCATAGTTATCTCAGGCCTTTAATTCTCAGCCTAAAGGTATGTGATTAATCGTTATAACGTAGGTAGGTGAGATAACGCCGGTATGAGGGATACACCCTCTCCTTCCGCCTTGCTTTCTTCCCCCTCCCGGGCCTACCCCTCCACAGGTAACAAAATACGATTTCATATGAGCTCTGACAAAGGGGCAAAGATAGAAGAGCACAGTTAAATAAAATATGAATGGTTTCCTGTTACACAGGGTAATATACCTTGTAATTGAAGGTCTATCCTGCAACTTTGTTGAACCAGCACCTAAATAGCATAGTATGTATGACAGTATGATTTATTTTCAGTGCACATCCACATATGCAAAACCATCCCAAAGCAAGATCAGCCAGCATGGGTGAGCCAGGGAGAATGTATTTATATGCCTCTGCATGTTGCACAGAAGAATATGATTAAAGCACTCAGACTGAAGAGCTTTTAAGTTGTACTCAGCTACTCAGCAGAGAGCGTGAGAGTGAGAGAGAGCGAGAGAGAGAAGTCCCTCATTTTCCATTTTGACAAATCCTCTGTGAGAAGGTTAGGGCTTAATTATGGGCTGGCCGGTGTGAGCGGCACGGCAGGCTCATCATCTCTCAGCAAACAGCTGGGCTAAACTAGCTGCATTAATCAGCTGCCAAGTGTTCCCAGAGATTACTGCAAAGCCCCGCTGACCATTGTAAACACTTTTTTCACCCTGTCTCTTACTCTTTCTTTCTTCTCTCAGACATTATGGCACACAACTCATCCCAACCCCTCTTCCTCATCCCACGTAACTTATAGTTTCAATATTCTACTTCTCTACTCCTGTATTTCTCTATCATATTGTCAGTATCTCATCGTTATTCTTCCCTGGATCTTCATCCATTCCGTCTCTCTTCCTTCTTCCATTCTCTCTCTCTCTCTCTCTCTCTCTCTCTCTCTCTCTCTCTCTCTCTCTCTCTCTCTCTCTCTCTCTCTCTCTCTCTCTCTCTCTCTCTCTCTCTCTCTCTCTCTCTGCACATAAGGTCATAGACAAGCACACTTACAGAGGCTGGGATGTTCCCAATCAATTAAAGCCTAGACACTCACATGTAATTAGTTCCTAAAGCCCTTGATTTATTTATCTGACTCCTGTGACTGAGCTGAGTAAATGGATATTACTTCCTTATTTTGTAATTAGTAGAAATTTCCTCATTAGCTCTTGGATTATAACGAGCTAATAGGTGAATTTAACTTTAATTAGCCGTGGCATAATTTGTCCCTCTGTAGAGGCCTCAGTAAAGTGTTTTTCTGTCACTCATTGAAAGCGACACAAATGCATTGTGAACAGTAAAATATGTAAAGCAAAATAACTATTAGAAGTGGAATTAAAGAGGAAAGCTAATTGCTAATTCATTTTGAGAGTTGTGTGAGGTAGGATCTTTACCTCTCTTTCTTTCTCACTCACTCTCTGTTCGCTTGTAGAACATGTCTGGGTCTAGATTCCCTATTCCTTGCTTTCACTCTCTTGGTCTCCCTTTACTTTCCCTCCCTGCCTCCCTTCTTCCCACTCTCCCCCTCTTTTCCTCCCCCCTCTCTCGCTCTCTTTTCACTAATCTCACTGTGAATAGCTGAATGCCTTTCCCTCTAAACCTCTCCTCAGCCCCACCATGTGACTATGCTTTAAGAGAAATCATTGATGTGGCGTCTGGGAGAAATTGAGATATGTGTCTCAGGTCATGGAGGGAGTTCTTGAGAGGGGCTCACTTTGAAAATCATCAGCATATTTCTGGATTTTGGGATTCGGGACCCCTTTCAAAAGAGACTGATCCTCCTAGCTGTCAATCAATCGTGCCACAGCCAAGCTTTCCTGTGGCTCAGCATATCCTTTTTGACAGGATTTTGTGAATGTACTGTGATCATGCATATTACATGCTTGGAGACTTACTGCACTATAAGCCATGTTGCTTTTATTACATTAACCATTAAGTCTACAAAAACAGATCTTGATGGGTTGAGTTTCCAAGAAAAGTTTACCTAAAAGCTTTAGTTGGGTAATTACTGTATCGCACAGAACACTTACGTAAACATTAAACTAATGCAGCTTTGTATTGACTGTTGTTTCATTTAATTAATCCTGTTTGTTATGGTGTTGTTCCCCCCAGCGTGTCCCGTCCCTAGTGGTGACAGACCTGTTTGAGGACATCAAGGATGGAGTGATGCTGCTGGCCCTGCTGGAGGTCCTGTCTGGACAGAAGCTGGTGAGTCCTGTACCTGCTCTGGGATCAGTTTAACTAGTCTGCAAGTGGTCTCACTCAGGGCAGCAACAAAGGCCCTTCCTCCACTCGTGGCTTTGGAACAGTTTAACTGCACGTGGTCTTGGTCACAGTGTTGTTGACTCATAATAAATACCAATCCATGCCCACCAGATCCTCAACATGCAGGATTCAACTCCGCCCCCTTGAAGATGTTCAACTGAAATGACAGTAAGCTCTCATCAAAAAACAGAGCAATGAAATATAATGAAGGCAGGGTTGACATGGAAACCTGTTTGTAAAGGGCATTTGAAGACTGATTTTGAATACTACTGTGAAAGACTTTCTCTGTGAACCCTGCCCTCAAAGCTATGTTTACAGCATATCTAAGGACATCAGTGAATGTGAGAATGGAAACGATTACATGGAAATTACATAATATTGATTAGTCTTTATTAGGATGTTTGGTTGGAAAAAAGCAGGCTAGATAAACAGGGAAAGGCCAGGGGGCACACACACACACACACACACACACACACACACACACACACACACACACACACACACACACACACACACACACACACACACACACACACACTGTTTGATGGTCCCACAAGGCCAATACAGCCTTGGGTCTAAGCTGTCTGTTATATTGATCTCTTTGCTAAAAGGCAAACACACTCGGATTCATTTTCTCTCTATCTCTGTCTCTCTGTCTCTGTCTCGCTATCTCTGTCTCTCTATCTCTGTCTCTGTCTCTGTCTCTGTTTCTCTCTCTCTGTCTCTCTGTCTCTGTTTCTCTATCTCTCTATCTCTGTCTCTGTCTCTCTGTCTCTGTCTCTCTGTCTCTGTCTCTCTATCTCTGTCCCTGTCTCTGTCTCTGTCTCTGTCTCTGTCTCTGTTTCTCTATCTCTGTCTCTCTATCTCTATCTCTGTCTCTCTATCTATGTCCCTGTCTCTGTCTCTCTATCTCTATCTCTATCTCTATCTCTATCTCTATCTCTATCTCTATCTCTGTCTCTCTGTCTCTCTGTCTCTCTGTCTCTGTCTCTGTTTCTCTATCTCTGTCTCTCGGTCTCTGTTTCTCTATCTCTCTATCTCTGTCTCTCTGACTCTGTATCTGTCTCTGTCTCTGTGTCTGTCTCTGTCTCTGTCTCTCTGTCTCTGTCTCTGTCTCTGTCTCTGTCTCTCTATCTCTGTCTCTGTCTCTCTATCTCTGTCTGTCTATCTCTGTCTCTCTCCATTTCTGTTTTCTCTTCCTTGTTTTTCATGTTAATCTTATTCTTGTTTTCTCTGTTATTCAATCTGCCATCTTTCCCTCTTTTCAATCTCTTTCTACTTTCCATTCTGTTGTTTTCCCAATCTCTGTTTTCATTATTTTCTCTCTCTCCCTCTGTACCTTTTTCTTTCTGTTTAACATCCTTCTGACTCTATACTCTATGTTTCTTTGACTCTGTCTTTTATTACCCCCCCACCCCCTGTCTCTCTCTCTCTCTCTCTCTCTCTCTCTCTCTCTCTCTCTCTCTCTCTCTCTCTCTCTCTCTCTCTCTCTCTCTCTCTCTCTCTCTATATATATATATGTATCTCTCTCTATCCCCCCCCTAGCCGTGTGAGCAGGGGAGGAAGCTGCGGAGGATCCACTGGGTCTCAAACATCGGCACGGCTCTCAACTTCCTGGAGGGCAGAAAGGTAGGAGTGCTCCATCTCTACCTCTCCCCCTCTCCTCTCCTCCTCAATCCCTCTCCTTCTCTCCTCCTCCATCCATCTCCCCCTTCATCCCTCTCCCCCTCTCCCACTGACCCTCTCCCACTCTCCTCCTCTCCTCCTCCATCCATCTCCCCCTCCATCCTTCCACCCCTCTCCCTGTATACTCATCCATCCCTCTCACCCTCCATCCCTCTCCCCCTCTCCCTTGACACACATGGTTCAGGTGATGGCCTTGGGGTCAGAACACTGAAGACTGACCCCGCATGACCCTTTCTCTCCTACATTCCCCTCTCTACCTCCCATCTCCCTTTGCCCTGCTGTATCTTTCTTCCCCCTTCTCCATATCTCTCTCTCTCTCTCTCTCTCTCTCAAATTGACTGTTATCCCTCACTCCATGAGATCAATGTAGTATTCCATCCAACCTTTTTATGTGAGTAAAGTACATGTCGGATAAAACATGTAATGACAGGCCTGATGGAAACAGAAACTGTGTCGGTAAACTTTCCAAATGTCGACAAAACAAAATACGCTAGACAAGGTGGGATCTTTTTGTGTCGGTAAATTGAATAATGCGAGAAATGGCGGTGGAAACGCCTTTATGCGCAAATATTGATTTAATAAACATAATATCGAAGTAAACACAATTATATATTTTGTGGTCCTCCCACTATGACTCGGGTAACCATGCAGTTTATTAGGCTGTAGATGAAATAAGTTATGATGAACTTCACAGGGTGTTGAAAGTGCACTGTGATCCTGATGCTCCTTTCCAATAAATATCGAGGGTCTTATTCTGGTGACATGATGATCGATGCTTGACTGCTGTTCGACAAATAAAAATATTCTCACTTTTATCTATAATAATTGTCAGTGTTTGAAGTGGATGTGGTGTTGGAGTCAGGCGCAGGACACAGAAGCTTAGTCCAACAGACTTTACTAGTCAGAAATATGACAATACAAAAAGAACGGGCCTCAAACAACGGAGGCGAGCGATACGCAAACAGTGCGTAAAACACGAAATATAAGCGATGCGCAAACAGTGCGTCAATACACTTAAATACACCAGAGCAAAATCCAAAACCCCAACGGACAGGCGGACAACAACACACAACTACAAACAAAACCAAAGGAAACTTATAGGTGACATAATCAATAAGTGATAAGACACCGGTGCACCAAACAGACAAAACCAAACAAACATAGAGAACATCAAACGGTAGCAGCTAGTACTCCGGGGACGACGAACGCCGAAGCCTGCCCGAACAAGGAGGAGGAGCAGTCTCGGCGGAATTCGTGACAGTACCCCCCCCTTGACGCACGGCTCCAGCCGTGCGCCGACCCCGGCCTCGGGGACGGCCAGGAGGACGTGGAGCAGGGCGCGTAGGATGACTACGATGGAACTCAGTCAGGAGGGATGGATCTAAAATGTCCCTCCGAGGCACCCAGCACCGTTCCTCCGGACCGTACCCCTCCCACTCCACGAGATATTGTAGACCCCCCATCCGACGTCTCGAATCCACGATGGACCGGACTGAGTACGCCGGAGCCCCCTCGATGTCCAGTGGGGGCGGAGGGGTCTCCCTTATCTCACTCTCCTGGAGTGGACCAGCTACCACCGTCCTGAGGAGAGACACATGGAATGAGGGGTTAATGTGATAGTTATTGGGCAGTTGCAACCTGTAACACACCTCATTCAATCTCCTCAGGACTTTAAATGGCCCCACAAACCGCCGGCCAAGCTTCCGGCAGGGCAGGCGAAGGGGCAGGTTTCGAGTCGAGAGCCAGACTCGATCTCCAGGGGCGTAGACTGGACCCTCACTGCGGTGGAGGTCGTGCTCGCCTTCTGCCTGCGGATGGCCCGCTGCAGATGGACGTGGGCAGCGTTCCATGTCTCCTCCGAGTGCCGAAAAAACTCATCCACCGCAGGAGCCTCGATCTGGCTCTGATGCCATGGTGCCAGAACCGGCTGATAACCTAATACACACTGAAAAGGGGTCAGGTTAGTAGAGGAGTGGCGGAGAGAGTTCTGAGCCATCTCTGCCCAGGGGATATACCCCGACCACTCCTCCGGCCGGCCCTGGCAATAGGATCTCAGAAACCTACCCACATCCTGGTTTACTCTCTCCACCTGCCCATTACTCTCCGGGTGGTAACCCGAGGTAAGGCTAACCGAGACCCCCAAGTGTTCCATGAACGCCCTCCAGACTCTAGAGGTGAACTGGGGACCCCAATCAGACACTATATCCTCGGGAACCCCGTAGTGCCGGAAGACGTGGGTGAACAAAGCCTCAGCGGTCTGTAGGGCAGTAGGGAGACCCGGCATAGGAATGAGACGACAGGCTTTAGAGAACCGATCCACAACGACCAGAATAGTGGTATTCCCCTGGGAGGGGGGAAGGTCCGTGACAAAGTCCACCGAGAGGTGAGACCATGGCCGTTGTGGAACGGGCAGGGGTTGTAAACTTCCCCCTGGGCAGGTGTCTAGGCGCCTTACACTGAGCGCACACCGAGCAGGAGGAGACATAAACCCTCACGTCCTTAGCCAATGTTGGCCACCAGTATTTAACACTAAGGCAGTTGCACTGTCCGGCCAATACCTGGATGTCCAGAGGAGGGTGACGTATGAGCCCAATAAATGAGCCGATCACTGACCTCGAGCGGCACGTACGTCCGACCCACTGGACACTCTGGGGGAGTAGGGTCGGTGCGTAACGCCCGCTCAATTTCCGCATCGACCTCCCATACCAACTGGTGCCACCAGACAAGACTCCGGCAGTATGGGAGTGGGCTCAATGGACCTCTCCTCTGTGTCATACCGCCGGGACAGGGCGTCTGCCTTACCGTTCTGGGACCCTGGGATGTACGTGATCTTAAAAACGAACCGGGTCAGGAACATGTTCCACCTAGCCTGACGAGGGTTTAATCTCCTAGCTGCCCGGATGTTCTCCAGGTTACGATGGTCGGTCAGAATGAGAAAAGGGTGTTGAGCCCCCTCAAGCCAATGCCTCCACACCTTTAGGGCTTGAACCACGGCTAACAGCTCCCTGTCCCCTATGTCATAATTACGCTCCGCCGGGCTGAGCTTCTTAGAATAGAAAGCGCAGGGACGGAGCTTAGGTGGCGTGCCTGAGCGTTGCGACAGTACTGCCCCAATACCGGCCTCTGACGCGTCCACCTCTACCTGGAACGCTAAAGCGGGGTCCGGGTGCGCCAGCACCGGAGCCGAGGTGAACAGGTCTTTCAGTTTACAAAACGCCCTGTCCGCCTCAGCTGACCACTGCAAACGCACCGGGCCCCCCTTCAGCAGGGAAGTAATGGGAGCTGCTACCTGTCCAAAACCCCGGATAAACCTCCGGTAGTAATTGGCAAAACCCAAAAACTGCTGCACCTCTTTCACAGTGGTTGGGGTTTGCCAGTTACGCACGGCTGACACACGGTCAATCTCCATCTTCACCCCTGACGCGGACAACCGATGACCCAAGAAGGAGATGGACTCCTGGAAAAACAGACATTTCTCTGCCTTGACATACAAGTCATGCTCCAACAGTCTACCCAACACTCGGCGTACCAGGGCTACATGCTCGGCACGTGTAGCAGAGTACACTAAGATGTCGTCAATGTACACTACCACTCCCTGCCCATGCAGGTCCCGGAAGATCTCGTCCACAAATGATTGGAAGACTGAAGGAGCATTCATTAACCCGTATGGCATGACAAGATACTCATAATGACCTGAGGTGGTACTAAATGCTGTCTTCCATTCATCCCCCTCACTAATGCGCACCAAGTTATAAGCGCTCCTGAGATCCAGTTTTGTGAAGAACCGCGCCCCGCGTAATGATTCAGTCATACTCGCAATCAGAGGAAGAGGGTAACTGTATTTCACAGTGATCTGATTGAGACTACGATAATCAATACACGGGCGCAAACCTCCATCTTTCTTCTTCACAAAAAATAATCTCGAGGACGCAGGGGAAGTGGAGGGCCGTATGTATCCCTGTTTCAGGGACTCAGCTATGTATGTCTCCATAGCCGCCGTCTCCTCTTGAGACAGAGGATACACATGGCTCCGCGGAAGTGCCGCACCTGTCTGGAGGTTTATCGCACAATCTCCCTGCCTATGAGGTGGCAATCGTGTCGCCCTCGTCTTGCTGAACACGAGTGCCAAATCCTCATACTCAGGGGGAATGTGCATTGCGGGCACTTGGTTCGGACTCTCCACCGTGGTCGCCCCCACGGAAACACCTAGACATCGCCCAACACACTGGCCAGACCATTCCTTGAGAGCCCTCTGTTGCCACGAAATGGTGGGGTCATGGGTGACTAACCAAGGAAGCCCCAGCACCACGGGATACGCAGGAGAGTCAATTAGGTACAACTGAATAATCTCCTCATGACCCCTCTGCGTCTTCATCTTTAGTGGCGCTGTGACTTCCCTAATCAACCCAGACCCCAACGGGCAGCTATCTAGGGCATGGACAGGAAAGGGTGCATCAACGGGCAGGAGGGGAATCCCTAACCTAGAACAACATTTCCGATCAATAAAATTCCCAGCTGCGCCTGAATCGACTAGCGCCTTATGCTGGGAATGAGATGCAACCTGAGGAAATACTACAGGTATACAAAAGTGAACAACAGAGAGCTCTGGGTGAGTGGGGCGCCTACTCACCTGAAATGACTCTCCAGTGCGCGACCTGTTGTCCCGATTCCCTGGAGACCCTCCCCAGCACCTAGCCGCAGTGTGTCCTCCACGGCCACAGCTGGTGCAGGGGACGGCCCCCCTCGGATTCTCTCTCCTACTCCCTCTAGCGCCAGCACCCCCGAGCTCCATTGGGCTCGGCTCGGAGGTGCTGGGGAATGGAATGGACGGCCCCATCTCGGGACGTCCGCGGGTGGCCAGCAGGGTATCCAGACGGATGGACATGTCCACTAGCTGGTCAAAGGACAGATTGGTGTCCCTGCAGGCCAGCTCTCGACGAACGTCCTCTCGCAGGCTACACCTATAGTGGTCGATGAGGGCCCTCTCATTCCACCCCGCATCCGCCGCTAGAGTCTGGAAATCCAGGGCGAAATCCTGTGCGTTCCTCTTCCCCTGTCGGAGGTGGAACAGATGCTCCCCCGCCGCTTTACCCTCAGGAGGGTGATCGAAAACAGCCCTGAAGCGGCGGGAGAACTCCGCGTAGCTGATGGTGGCGGCGTCTATTCCCCTCCATTCGGCGTTGGCCCACTCCAACGCCTTGCCGGAGAGACAGGAGATGAGGGCGGACACGCTCTCGTATCCCGAGGGCGCCGGGTGTATGGTGGCCAGGTAGAGTTCCACCTGAAGGAGGAACCCCTGACACCCGGCTGCTGTGCCATCATACGCCCTCGGGAGCGAGAGCCGAATCCCACTGGATTCCGGAACCGGTCTGGTGGGACTGGCCGATGGTGGTGGTAATGTAGGAGGAGGTGTGGGCATGCCTCCCCTTTCCCATCGGCGCAGGGTGTTCATGACCTCCTGCATGGCGGAGCCGAGTTGATGGATCCTGGCGTCCTGGCAGCTGACCCGATCCTCCAGCGACTCGGTCGCCGCCGCTGCTCCTGCTGACTCCATTGATGGTGTGTTGTTCTGTCAGTGTTTGAAGTGGATGTGGTGTTGGAGTCAGGCGCAGGACACAGAAGCTTAGTCCAACAGACTTTACTAGTCAGAAATATGACAATACAAAAAGAACGGGCCTCAAACAACGGAGGCGAGCGATACGCAAACAGTGCGTAAAACACGAAATATAAGCGATGCGCAAACAGTGCGTCAATACACTTAAATACACCAGAGCAAAATCCAAAACCCCAACGGACAGGTGGACAACAACACGCAACTACAAACAAAACCAAAGGAAACTTATAGATGACATAATCAATAAGTGATAAGACACAGGTGCACCAAACAGACAAAACCAAACAAACATAGAGAACATCAAACGGTAGCAGCTAGTACTCCGGGGACGACGAACGCCGAAGCCTGCCCGAACAAGGAGGAGGAGCAGTCTCGGCGGAATTTGTGACAATAATCTCGTCATGTTGACTAGCCTACCCACACTGTATCTGCTAGCTGTTGCACGTGCACGTGCCAAGACCAGAGTAAGCACATTTGCTATTTAACAAAACAGTTTTTGTGACAAAGTTGAAACTTCGATGGAATTACATTGCACATTGATTTTTATTTGGTACATGAAAAGTACATTTTGTGTAATCACACACTGTTTTTATCTGCAACAAGTCCTTTTGGTGGAAACACACCACTGGTGGGAAAATTTGCATATTTTCTTTATGCTGATTTTAGAATATTTGCATTAAACTCTGTTGCCAATTGGATGGAAACCTAATTTATGAGATAGATTCCCAGTATTAGATTACTAATGCTCCACATAGCATGTCTTTGGATATACATAAATAAATCCGCAAGTATGAGCTTGCGTTTGGGGGGACATTGATTTAGCTTCTTCCTACACTGTGACAGGGTTAAACCGTAAATCCTACAACAGTAATCTGCAGTCTGGAGTGTAGACACTGAGATTGGGGGTCTCTGCCATGCCATGCTGGGAGGGGTGTGTGTGTGTGTGTGTGTGTGTGTGTCTGTATGTGTGTGTGTGTGTGTGTGTGTATGTGTGTGTGTGATATAGACAAACAGTCAATGTAAATCTTATGTGTGCGTAGACTGTATTTAGATTTGATTTTAGTTCCTATCCTCACTGCTCTTTTATCACATTTGCCATTTCCCCTATCTCCCTATCTCATATCTGTCACGATGGGAGCATGATTTAATATCTACTGTTGTCTACAGTAAATGATGTTCGGTCTCTCTCTCTGTCAGATAGCTTTTATATAGGTCAGACTGGCCGTGTCCGAATACCCATACTTGCGTCCTAAATAATAAGCCGTTTGGGTATGCGAAAAAATTATGTTTAAGAGAATGTGACATTTCGAAAATCTAGCAGCGCCGTAAAGTACCTAAGTAAAAATACTTTAAAGTACTACTTTTTGGGGGTATCTGTACTTTACTTTACTATTTATATTTTTGACAACTTTTACTTTACTTCCACTACATTCCTAAAGAAAATAATGTACTTTTTACCCCATACATTTTCCCTGACAGCCAAAAGTACTCATTACATTTTCCCACGGGGGGGCAGTATGAAAAACAATTTATGCACTCACTAACTGTAAAGTCGCTCTGGATAAGAGCGTCTGCTAAATGACTAAAATGTAAATGTAAAAATGAATGCTTAGCAAGAAAGGAAAATGGTCCAATTCACGCACTTATCAAGAGAACATCCCTGGTCATCCCTACTGCCTATGATCTGGCGGACTCAGTAAATACTCATTGCTTTGTTTGTAAATTACGAGTTGGAGTGTTGGAGTGTGCCACTAGCTATCCATTTTTTTTTTTTTTTACAAAAATTGTGCTGAAATCTGAAATCGAGTATAATTTAAATGCCCGGATGTCATACCCTTTTCGGCTTTGACAACAGCTGATCAATTAGATATGGGGATGTGCTACTGAAATCAACGAATAACGGGAAACAACGCAATCGCGCATGACGCATTCTCAGTATTGCGAAAATAGAGTATGTGAATTTTTGAAAATCTAGTATGGTTTAAATGCCAGGATGTTATACTCACTTCAGCTCTTCATCTAGCAGGTGGGCTGCGAGTGATAGGCCCTAGTTCTCTTCAAGTAGCCAAGCAACAAAACTAGGCTACTTAAATGGGAAGATGCCGAATAGCTAAGCCTCTGCGTTGGTGTTCAAATGTAGGTGTAGTATCGAGTAAATGCTGGCAATTATTGCTGATAAACAAAGGAGTCCGCTCATACTGAACCTTGATCATAAGTTTATTCATATCACAAGCTTTCAGCATGAGTTACAGGTGTCATGCCCACCCGGAGAGCGACGCCCCAGATTGCAATGGTCGCTCTAACCTGTTCTTCGTTTTCCCCCCAGTATATATAATCTCCCCAAGATGTGGGTGGCTCCCTCTACTGTCCAATCCCCTGTCTACAACACACTTCCTGTCTGTTGTATGTGGCGTTACACTAAAACATTCCCTCTTGATACTAAAATAAAACGTCCTCTCCGATTCCACTTAAAAACATTAACAACGTCATAATCTTCATATACGACATAGGCTAAGTAGTTTTTGTTCTCCTTAAAATTATCATGAGTATTGCATTATAGGCTGCATCTTTGAAAACAGATATTTTTTTTGGGGGGGGGATTTCTGTGTTCTCATTGAAAAGTGTTTCTTTTTCTCTTGGCCTTCGTCAGAGCTTTTAAATTAAATACTAAACCATCTTTTTATTTCTGAATGTGTCGGCACCGGGGTCTCAGGATGTGGCTGCGTTATTGATGTCATGTTAATCAGGCCTTTTGATTTTTAGTTTTGTAGGCTAAGCTACCTATTTAATTATTTAATGTATGGATCAAGCCTTATAGCAGTCATTCTGATCTCGTTCCCAATGATCAGTGCTTTAGTTTATTATGTTGCTGTCCAGTGGTTCTGAATTTGCGATGCACCCGGCTGTCCACGCTTTTCTGTACAGTAGCGTTTTGATTTGAACATTTGAAAAGTTTTGGTGTGTGTACTAGGCTATTTGATTAAATGTGTATACAGTGCATTCTGAAATTATTCAGACCCCTTGACTTTTTCCACATTTTGTTACGTTACAGCCTTATTCTAAAATTGATTAAATTGTTTTTTTCCCCCTCATCAATCTACACACAATACCCCATAATGACAAAGCAAAAACAGGATTTTAGAAATGCATGCACATTTATTAAAAATAAATAATGGAAATATATGACATTTACATAAGTATTCAGACCCTTTACTCAGTACTTTGTTGAAGCACCTTTGGCAGCGATTACAGCTTTGAGTCTTCTTGGGTATGACGCTACAAGCTTGGCACACCTGTATTTTTAGATTTTCTCCCATTCTTCTCTGCAGATCCTCTCAAGCTCTGTCAGGTTGGATGGGGAGCGTTGCTGCACAGCTATTTTCAGGTCTCTCCAGAGATGTTCGATCGGGTTCAAGTCCGGGCTCTGGCTGGGCCACTCAAGGACATTCAGAGACTTGTCCCAAAGCCACTCCTGCGTTGTCTTGGCTGTGTGCTTAGGGTTGTTGTCCTGTTGGAAGGTGAACCTTCGCTCCAGTCTGAGATCCTGAGCGCTCTGGAGCAAGTTTTCATCAAGGATCTCTCTATACTTTGCTCCGTTCAGCTTTGCCGCGATCCTGACTAGTGTCCCAGTACCTGCCGCCGAAAAACATCCCCACAGCATGATGCTGCCACCACCATGCTTCAATGTAGGGATGGTGCCAGGTTTCCTCCAGATGTGATGCTTGGCATTCAGGCCAAAGAGTTCAATCTTGGTTTCATCAGACCAGAGAATCTTGTTTCTCATGGTCTGAGAGTCTTTAAGTGCCTTTTGGCAAACTCCAAGCGGGCTGTCATGTGCCTTTTACTGAGGTGTGGCTTCCGTCTGGCCACTCTACCATAAAGGCCTGATTGGTGGAGTGCTGCAGAGATGGTTGTCCTTCTGGAAGTTTCTCCCATCTCCACAGAGGAACTCTAGAGCTCTGTCAGAGTGACCATCGGGTTCTTGGTCACCTCCCTGACCAAGGCCCTTCTCCCCCGATTGCTCAGTTTGGCTGGGCGGCCAGCTCTAGGAAGAGTCTTGGTGGTTCCAATCTTCTTCCATTTAAGAATGATGGAGGCCGCTGTGTTCTTGGGGACCTTCAATGCTGCAGACATTTTTTGGTACCCTTCCACAGATCTGTGCCTCGACACAATCCTGTCTCGGAGCTCTACGGACAATTCTTTCAACCTCATGGCTTGGTTTGTGCTCTGGCATACACTGTCAACTGTGGGACCTTATATAGACAGCTGTGTGCCTTTACAAATCATGTCCAATCAATTGAATTTATAAAACAAGTTGTAGAAACAGGATGCGCCTGAGTTCAATTTCGAGTCTCATAGCAAAGGGTCTGAATACTTATGTAAAAAGGTATTTCTGTTATTTATTTTTAATAAATTAACAAAAAAATCTACAGACCTGTTTTTTCGCTTTGTCATTATGGGGTATTGTGTGTAGATTGCTGAGGAAATGTTTTTATCTAATCCATTTTAGAATAAGGCTGTAACGTAACAAAATTTGGAAAAAGTCAAGGGGTCTGAAAACTTTCCGAAGGCACTGTTACAGCACCTTGGTTTCACTAATAAATATGTTGAAATGGAACCAAATTATCTGTTTCTGTCTTCAGTCCTTTTTAAATGGGATATTTTATATTTTATTTAATTTAATTTAATTTATTTTAATTTAATTTAATTTTAATTTAATTTTATTTAATATTTAATATGCCATTTAGCAGACGCTTTTATCCAAAGCGACTTACAGTCGTGCGTGCATACATTTTTTTGTGTATGGGTGGTCCCGTGGTTCGAACCCACTACCTTGGCGTTACAAGCGCCGTGCTCTACCAGCTGAGCTACAGATGGGCTATATGGGCTATATTTTACATTTTAGTCATTTAGCAGACGCTTTTATCCAGAGCGACTTCCAATTAGTGAGTGCATACATTTTTCATACTGGCATGGGTCGAATGTGATAGTCTACCTATAACCAGCCTGAGTAGGCCTATATCGCCATTTCTATTCAGAGTTTAGAGAAATTAATCAAATTGGAAATGAGTTATTATCAGGCTGGCATGTCTGTTGAATTTGGAATAATCCACCCGCACTCAGCCCCGCCCCACCTACTCAGCCAGTCAGGGGCCGCTACTGCGTTGCAACCATCACATACCTTTTACTAAACGGTACGTGCTAAATAGTATGCGATGATGAGTACATAGTATGCAGTTTAAGTATGTAGAACGCTAGTATGGGTATTGGGACACGGCCACTGTTTTCTTCCGCACTACACCCTGTATATCTCACTCCTTCTTTACACTGTATGAATGGCCTTTCTTTGTCATATTGTTCAAGCAGTGTCCCTCTATTTACTGTCAAACCACTATCTCCCCTCTTCCCCTTTACACAGTCTAAGGACCCCAGTCTGATATGAAGTGCTGTATTATGTATAAACTGCCTACTAGACCCCCTCTCTAGACCTGTCTCAGATATAGAAACATGAATTATGTGTACGGTACTGCTCAGTCTCTGACCTCTCCCAACTGGAGCTTCTACAGCTTATCCTTGTTATGGAGACCTTTCCCACCCCATATTGTTCACACAGACTGTGTCCCTCCTCCATACCACACTCCCAGTGTAATATGATAACCTTTAATGCTCAGACTGCTCTCCTCTGTAATATACCCTCTGATATGGATGCTATGATGAATGCCCAGACCCTCTCTCTCTATGATATACCCTGCCCCCGCACTCCATAGAGAGAGCTCTGCGTAGAGCACGAGCGAGATGCGAGTAGGGAGCGAGACGCGAGACGTGCGAGCGAGAAGCTCTCGGCGCGCGAGCAGACGAGCGAGCGCGCTACGAGAGCGGATTATCGCACTCTCGAGCGACCTCCCTCTCTCTTCTCTCTCTTCTTTCTCTCTACCCTCTCTCTCCTCTACCCTCTCTCTTCTACCCTCTCTCTCTTCTATACCCTCTCTCTCTCTACCCTTTGCTGGGTGTAATCCCCAGTGCTGTCTGTGTATAGGTGATAGATCTGTCCTCTCAGCCCGTCGTAGAGCAGCCAGGGTTATCTCACAGCTAGAGTCTTTATCGCTCGCCTCACACTCGATGAGACATCCCCCTTTCACTCAGCCATACTATATACCTCCTCTAACTGCATGCAATCTCTCTCTGTGTACCTCTCTTTTGCTCTCTCTCGCTCTCCTTTTTTCACACGCTCACTCAAGTCTGCGTACAGGGGATCACCGGTTAGTACCAGCTTATTTGATGTTTTCATGAAAGTTATTATGAATTATATTACACTTGGGTATTGTGTTGATAGTCCGTATCCATATTTTAATATATTGTCTTTACCAGATTACCATTACTAGATTGAGTGAATTTGTGCATATGTGTTCCATATGTATTAGAACGGATATGATTTCTGATAAGCGATATCCTACAGTATAATGCTAGATATTGTATGTTTTGATACAGATCAAGCTAGTCAACATCAACTCGACTGACATTGTCGATGGAAGACCATCTATCGTACTGGGGTTGATTTGGACAATAATCCTCTATTTCCAGGTATAGTGCCTCTGTGGTGGGTGGGTGTCATCCCACTACAGATAATGTACCGCTATTGCACAATTACACAATAAAGGCAATGGTGTTTCATTTTGTGAGTCAGCCATGCTCTGTCTTCTTGGCCAAAAAATCTGTGCTTTCACTATAGAAAAATAGTGTCTGTATTCCTGAAAAATCCTTGACGAATTAAAGGAAATAACCACTGTGTCATTATGTTTCCCCCTCCCCCTCTCTCTCTCTTTCTCTCTCTCTCTCTCTCTCTCTCTCTCTCTCTCTCTCTCTCTCTCTCTCTCTCTCTCTCTCTCTCTCTCTCTCCCCTCGTGCAGATAGAGGAGTTGACCAGTAACCTGCCGGCGCTCCAGGCCCTCTCTAGCAGCACCTCCTCAGTGGACAGCTCAGACACCACCAGCCCGCCTGTCAAGAGGAGGCCCCTCCCCCCGCTGCAGGGTGGGGCCAGGAAGGCCCTACTCAGATGGGTCCAGCAGACCGCCACCAAGTACGGGACTACAGCCACTGTACCAACTGCAATATAACATGATGATACTTATGATATTACTAACTACAATAACACTTCTATTACCAGTGCTAGTCGTGGTTGTAGTGATAGCTACTGATAGTGATATTACAATAGCTAATAATAATTGATGGTGTTATTGATGTAATGCTGTATTTGTCCTGTCTGTCTCTTCAGGCATCTGGGGATCGACGTGAAAGACTTTGGGCCGAGCTGGCGTACAGGTGTGGCATTCTTTGCAGTCATCCTCTCTCTTCGACCCCACCTGGTCGATATGGAGCGTGTGCGTAGGAGAACCAATCGAGAGAACCTGCAGGAAGCCTTCTCATTGGCCGAGACTGAGCTGGGCATTCCGCAGCTACTAGACCCAGAAGGTAAACCACAGCCAGAGAGGTCATTTCCTGTTTGGCAAATGAATGTGGGTCGTTCCACGAAATGAGCGCCTTTTGCGTTCCTTTAAAATGCTAAGTAGAAATTGTGCACAAACATTGAAAAAGCCTGTTATATTAAATTAAGTGCCCTTTAATATAGAACACATGGACAATTCAATAAATCCGTTTTTTTTTTATATGAATAAAGACTTGCTAAAGTGCCAAAATTCAGCATTTTGACATGTCTGTCTGTGCATCCTATGTGACTTCTAGGAAGATATTAACCCACTTAATCCCAACATTTATCCAAGTTCACCATCATTGTAAAGTTATTTTGTTGCTTTGACAAAGCCATTTCTATAGATTACTGTTTATTTCATGTGATTAGTGATTCATTTTAAGGTTAAAAAAAACTGTCCCTCATTTTAAGGTAAACCCTGTTATGTAAACTGAACTGTCTTTTTAATATGGTGAAACAATTTTTTAGAAGCATTGAACATCTAATAGTAAAATCATAGTGTAAAAGCAGGTGAGCTGGATCTACTATTTTTGGCAATTTTCTGGTGTTTTGTTATGAAAATCTGAGCGGGTTGAGCATAACACGTCAACCCTGTTACCCATAGATAGACAGGCTAGAAATGTTTTAACAATAAAACATTTTTTGTGAAGCTTGCATTCAATTCCCCCTCCCTGTTTCACACAACAAGCTTCCATTCCCCCTGTCACAAGGGGATTTATGGATGACTTAAGATGAAGTCATCAACCCTGTTACGGTAAACCCTGTTACGGTCAACGCTGTTACTTTATTTGGCACCTACTAGGCACTTACTATAGTCATTTTTTATTTTACCTCTTGAGATGGGAAAACATGTTTTTTATTAAGTTGAGCATGTGCTCTTTATGACAGAATGTTAAAATGAGGTGAAATTAAACGTTTTTTACACTACTCAAAAGGCCTAATTGATAGAACGAGCCAGGTACACTGAACAAACTAACCAAAAGTCTAGAAAACTTCTGGTTAGAAAACTTCAAGTCCAATATAGAGCTTTTCTGGATCTTTACAAACCTGAAGCTGATATGTCAGTCACGTTCCATGTCAATACAAAGATTCACTATGCTTTCACTATGGCAAAATAGTGTACATTCCTGCCTGTGTATCAGATAAATCCCTCTAGAGTGAATCCTCTAAACAGCATCTGTGCTCCTTCACGCCTGCCCCTCAGAATGAGCTCTGACAAATCCAGTTTGACATCGCCATAATTAAGGGCCATTAGGGCGAGAGGAGTCAGCGCCAGAGAGACCATCCAGCAGCTCACCATAATACCATATAAACCTGATATGAAGGGCAGTTTGATCCAAGGTGGCACGCCTTCCCTTCATCTCTGTCTGAGGTTTCTGGCAGCGATAGAGAGGCTTTCTTCTGCTTGATTACAAAGATCAGGGATGGCTAATCTCAGTAGTCTGTTGTTGGTATAGCTGAAGTTAAATAGTGATGTATGATTAGCTTTTTCCAGATTAGATGTCATTAAGAATGAGTGGTTTTGTGGTGACTAGACTGACCAATATCCTTTCATCTTTCTCCCCAGATGTGGATGTTGACAAACCTGATGAGAAGTCCATCATGACGTACGTGGCCCAGTTTCTGAAGCACCACCCCAACCCTGGTCACCAGCAGCACAGTGACTCAGACTCCCAGCCAGAGGAAGAGGTAGCAAGCCCTGTCCCTCTCCCCACCTCTCCCTCTCGCTCAATCTTCACAGCCATGTCTCTTCCTATGTTTTATTTCTCTCCGTTATTTACGTTATTTGCCGCTACCTAGGCGGCAGGTAGCTTAGTGGGTAAGAGCGTTGTGCCAGTTACCGAAAGGTCGCTGGTTCTAATCCCCGAGCCGACTAGGTGAAAAAATAATCTGTCGATGTGCCCTTAAGCAAGGCACTTAACCCTAATTGCTCCTGTAAGTCGCTCTGGATAAGAGCGTCTGCTAAATGACAAAAATGTAAATGTATTGTCCTCTATTCCAGAGTTATCTCAGACCTGCAGGTAGACTTGTGTTGTGTGCTGTCTCTGTAAACCCTTACCCCTAGCACTGACACAAACTACCCAACCTTTCCTTATTGTCACCGCTCACATTCTCTTACTCCTTAGTGATGTGATGTAATGTCTTCTTGCCTGTTGTTGATCAATCACTTCTTTGCACATCTCTCTCTTCTTCTTTTTCTCATTCTCTCTCTCCACTGTGGTGTTGTCTGTGTGGTCACTTCATCCCTGTGGTTGTTGTGCCTGACTCTATTCCACAGCATGGTCTTGCTCCTCGAGATATTGAGGAGATGTTGGAGGTAGGTTCAGTCTGTAGAAGTAGTAGTAGCCTCATTCCGGTTCACTGTGCAGGTTCTCCATCAAACGTTCCAAAAGAACATACTTAGAATGTTTGTAATTCCTCGCTGGAACACACACTGCTTCTAGCCTGGTTGCCAGCCTGTTTTTGCTTCAGCCAACTCTGTCAGTGGTTTGCATGACAACAACAAAGAAGGCAGCTACAGCAGAGACAGACTGGCACCCAGGCTACGTTGTTTCTATATACTTTAAACATTCACCATTCCATTTTATTGTTGTAATCACCAGCTCTACCTCTATATTCTGGTGGAATTAGCAGTGTTTTATGTGGTAAAGGAATTCATTTTTTTTTTCTCATCTTACCTGAGGTGAAATCCCAGCAGGATAATTTCCTGGTGATAGTCCCATTATTATATGATATGATATTACCATTATATTAGCATTAGTGCTAACAGCTACGTTGCATTAGCATGACAATGGCCGCAGCTGGCTAGGGCTAGGCAGTGAGCCCTTATATTGGCGGATGGTTTGATGGAAAGCCTTGGGTTTTGAATGAATAGTGGTTGGGTTTTGTAAGGTTACAGTTACCGCTTCTAGTGGATTGGACATTAAGCCTCTCTAACTATGCCGCTTTTGCATTAGTGTACGATTTAGAAATTTCCTGACCTTGATTATAGCCACTGGTTAATACTATCAACCGCACTGACAAAGATTTGTAACACTTTGTGTTGTTTATCTACATTCAGTATTATTATTATTTTTTAATGAAATAAAGAAAGAAGTTATGATATGGAAGTGCTGATTTCAGGGACAATACACTTGGCTATAACAGTGAACTTTAGCCAGCTTATAATATGATTTGTCCACCCTGTAGAGTGTTTAGGGGAAAACACTCAGACTGCCATTCAGAGAAGATAATATGTTCCCTTAGCAGGGGATTCCAATCCCCATCTGTAATTTGAATAAAGAATAAAGCCTTACAATGGGATGGCTGAGCAGAATAGACTGATGAAAATAGAATGGACTGAAACTGAATAGGGAGTGTTAAAATTGAATGGACTGTTGAACTAACTAACTTGTCATTATACAGTTCCTTCAGAAAGTATTCACACCCCTTGACTTTTTCCACATTTTGTTGTGTTACAGCCTAAATTGGATTAAATTGAGATGTTGTGTCACTGGCCTACATACAATACCCCATAATGTCAAAGTGGAATTATGTTTTTCCTAATTTGTACAAATTAATTACAAATTAAATGCTGAAATGTCTTGTGTCAATAAGTATTCAACCCCTTTGTTATGGCAAACCTACAAATAAGTTCAGGAGTAAAAATGTGCTTAACAAGTCACATAATAAGTTGCATGGACTCACTCTGTGTGCAATAACAGTGTTTATCATGATTTTTGAAGGACTACCTCATCTCTGTACCCCACACATACAATTATCTGTAGGGTCCCTCAGTCGAGCAGTGCATTTCAAACACATATTCAACCACAAAGACCAGGGAGATTTTCCAATGCCTCGCAATGAAGGGCACCTATTCAAGCAGACATTGAATATCCCTTTGAGCATGGTGAAGTTATTAATTACACTGTGGATGGTTTATCAATACACCTAGTCACTACAAAGATACACACTCTTGGAAAAAAGGATTCCAAAAGGGTTATTCGGCTGTCCCGAAAGGATAACAATTTTTGGTTCCAGATAGAACCCTTTTTGGTTCCAGGTAGAACTCTTTTGGGTTCCATGTAGATCCATCTGTGTAAAGGGTTCTACATGGAACTCAAAGGGTTCTACCTGGAACCAAAAAAAGTTATTCCAAGGGTTCTCCTATGGGGACAGCCGAAGAACACTTTTAGGTTCTAGATAGCAACTTTTTTTCTAAGAGTGCAGGCGTCCTTCCAAACTCAGTTGCCGGAGAAGAAGAAAACTGCTCAGGGATTTCACCATGAGGCCAATGGTGACTTTAAAACAGTTACAGAGTTTAATGGCTGTGAAAGGAGAACAGGATGGATCAACAACATTGTAGTTACTCCACAATACTAACCTAAATGACAGAGTGAAAAGAAGAAAGCCTGTACAGAATAAATACAGAAAATATTCCAAAACATGCATCCTGGCACTAAAGTAAAACTGCAAAAAATGTGGCAAAGAAATTAACTTTATGTCCTGAATACAACGCATTATGTTTGGGACAAATCCAACACAACACATCACTGAATACCACTCTTCATATCTGCAAGCATGGTGGTGGCTGCATCATGTTATGGGTATGCTTGTCATCAGCAAGGACTGGGGAGTTTTTTAGGATAAAATGAAACGGAATAGAACTAAGCACAGGCAAAATCCAAGCGGAAAACCTGGTTCAGTCTGCTTTCCAACAGACACTGGGAGACAAATTCACCTTTCAGCAGGACAATAACCTGGCCAAATATACACTGAAGTCAGTCTGCTTTCCAACAGACAGTTACCAAGATGACATTGAATGGTCCTGAGTGGTCTAGTTACAGTTTTGACATAAATTGGCTTGAAAATCTATGGCAAGACTTGAAAATTGCTGTCTAGCAATGATCAACAACCAACTTGACATACAGTGGGGAAAAAAAGTATTTAGTCTGCCACCAATTGTGCAAGTTCTCCCACTTAAAAGGATGAGAGAGGCCTGTAATTTTCATCATAGGTACACGTCAACTATGACAGACAAAATGAGAGAAAAAAAATCCAGAAAATCACATTGTAGGATTTTTAATGAATTTATTTGCAAATTATGGTGGAAAATAAGTATTTGGTCAATAACAAAAGTTTCTCAATACTTTGTTATATACCCTTTGTTGGCAATGACACAGGTCAAATGTTTTCTGTAAGTCTTCACAAGGTTTTCACACACTGTTGCTGGTATTTTGGCCCATTCCTCCATGCAGATCTCCTCTAGAGCAGTGATGTTTTGGGGCTGTCGCTGGGCAACACGGACTTTCAACTCCCTCCAAATATTTTCTATGGGGTTGAGATCTGGAGACTGGCTAGGCCACTCCAGGACCTTGAAATGCTTCTTACGAAGCCACTCCTTCGTTGCCCGGGCAGTGTGTTTGGGATCATTGTCATGCTGAAAGACCCAGCCACGTTTCATCTTCAATGCCCTTGCTGATGGAAGGAGGTTTTCATTCAAAATCTCACGATACATGGCCCCATTCATTCTTTCCTTTACACGGATCAGTCGTCCTGGTCCCTTTGCAGAAAAACAGCCCCAAAGCATGATGTTTCCACCCCCATGCTTCACAGTAGGTATGGTGTTCTTTGGATGCAACTCAGCATTCTTTGTCCTCCAAACACGACGAGTTGAGTTTTTACCAAAAAGTTCTATTTTGGTTTCATCTGACCATTTGACATTCTCCCAATCCTCTTCTGGATCATCCAAATGCACTCTAGCAAACTTCAGACGGGCCTGGACATGTACTGGCTTAAGCAGGGGGACACGTCTGGCACTGCAGGATTTGAGTCCCTGGCGGCATAGTGTGTTACTGATGGTAGACTTTGTTACTTTGGTCCCAGCTCTCTGCAGGTCATTCACTAGGTCCCCCCGTGTGGTTCTGGGATTTTTGCTCACCGTTCTTGTGATCATTTTGACCCCACGGGGTGAGATCTTGCGTGGAGCCCCAGATCGAGGGAGATTATCAGTGGTCTTGTATGTCTTCCATTTCCTAATAATTGCTCCCACAGTTGATTTCTTCAAACCAAGCTGCTTACCTATTGCAGATTCAGTCTTCCCAGCCTGGTGCAGGTCTACAATTTTGTTTCTGGTGTCCTTTGACAGCTCTTTGGTCTTGGCCATAGTGGAGTTTGGAGTGTGACTGTTTGAGGTTGTGGACAGGTGTCTTTTATACTGATAACAAGTTCAAACAGGTGCCATTAATACAGGTAACGAGTGGAGGACAGAGGAGCCTCTTAAAGAAGAAGTTGCAGGTCTGTGAGAGCCAGAAATCTTGCTTTTTTGTAGGTGACCAAATACTTATTTTCCACCATAATTTGCAAATAAATTCATAAAAAATCCTACAATGTGATTTTCTGGATTTTTTTTCTCAATTTGTCTGTCATAGTTGACGTGTACCTATGATGAAAATTACAGGCCTCTCTCATCTTTTTAAGTGGGAGAACTTGCACAATTGGTGGCTGACTAAATACTTTTTTCCCCCACTGTAGCTTGAATCATTTTTTAAAGAATAATGTGCAAATATTGTTCAATCCAGGTGTGCAAAGCTCTTAGTGTCATGCCCTGGCTCTGGGGACTATTAAATGTTGAGCCAGGGTGTGGATTTTCTATTGTTTAGTTTTCTAGGTTTGTGTGCTAGTTCGTGTATATCTATGTTGGCCAGGGTGGTTCCCAATCAGAGGCAGCTGTATCTTGTTGTCTCTGATTGGGGACCATACTTAGGCAGCCTGTTTGGCACAGTTTATTGTGGGATCTTGTTCCGGAAGGTTTGTGTTCAACCCAGGACTTCACGTATCGTTTGTTTTGTTGTTTTGGTTCGTGTTGTGTACTGCAATAAAATAATGTACGCATATCACGCTGCGCCTTGGTCCGCTTCATCTAACAACGATCGTGACACTTAGAGACTTAGCCAGAAAGACTCACATCTGTAATTGCTGCCAAAGGGGATTCTAACTCAGGGGTGTATTTCATTTTCAATAAATTAGCAAACATTTCTAAAATGTCATTATGGGCTATTGTGTGTATATTTTGAATTCAGGCTATAACACAACAAAATGTGGAATAAGTCAAGGGGTATGAATAGTTTCTGAAGGCACTGTAAGTATTCATAACAAATCCAATGAAATATTAGTAGCAGTGTTTAAAGTGAATTGGCTGAATTAAAAGTCTGTTTTTGGCAGCTGTGAGTCTAAAGAATTTGCCCTGCTGGGCAACATGAAGGATTAACTCCCATGTTTCCATTCTGCCCTCTCTTCTCCCCATCCCTCTTACTCCTTCATCCCTCTCTTCCCTTGTTATCCTTCTACCTACCATCTCTCCCTCTATTCCTGCGTTGCATTCTCACTTCCACTTTCACTCTTTCTTTCCTTTCCCTTTCCATATATTCCCCTTCCTCCCTCCTTGTATTCTATCCCACATTCCCTGCTTCCTTTTTTACTTTAATTTGTCCCTTCCTCCCTCCTCCCTCCTCTCCCCGGCCACCCAGAGAGAGCAGCGTAAGGGCCTGAGGGAGCTGAAGACCTGGCTGGATCAGCTGGAGCTAGACGCAGCACGTACTCAGGAGACCAAGGGCAACCTCAGCCAGCAGTATCAGGTGATCTAGAACACACACACACACATACTGGGCACAGACGCTCCCATTATCAGGCTAATCAGTGGTATTACACTGCAGGGATCAGACTGCTGCCGCCGTATTTCCACCCAATCTGGCATATACAGTACCAAAGCCCCAGGATACATTACATATTCAACACATTGTGGGATTTCCTTATTTCCTCTTTCTATTATGCATGTTTTTGACAGATTCCATGAATGTATGATCTGTGAAAGAGGGAGAAGTGTGTGTGTGTGTGTTCCAGGTAGTATATTTTACAGTATGTGTACTGTATGTGTGTGTGGGGGATATAACTAGGACCCAAAGGTTTTCCTTGTCAGGCCAAATGATCAGAAAATACTCAGAGTTCTATCTGTAACCATTCCATCTGTCGTTCCCCCCCTCTCGCTCTCTTCCCCCCCCCCCCCCCCCCCCCCCCCCCCTCTCTCTCTCTCAATTTCTCTTCATCAGTCCTTTAAGAGTGTACGTGTCCAGTTGGAGATGAGGAGGAAGCAGGTGGAGGCAGCAGTCCTGTCCACTCAGAAGGATGGGATGTTGACCGTGGACCAGGCTCTGGTCAAACAGGCCTGGGACAGAGTGTCCAACAGGGTAAGAGTCTGGGACGGGACCTCTTTTACTGTTATGGAGTAGAGTAGGGTAGAGTAGGGTAGGGTAGAGTAGAGTAGAGTAGAGTAGGGTAGGGTAGAGTAGAGTAGGGTAGGGTAGAGTAGAGTAGAGTAGAGTAGAGTAGGGTAGGGTAGGGTAGAGTAGAGTAGGGTAGGGTAGAGTAGAGTAGAGTAGAGTAGAGTAGAGTAGAGTAGGGTAGGGTAGGGTAGAGTAGAGTAGGGTAGGGTAGAGTAGAGTAGGGTAGGGTAGAGTAGAGTAGAGTAGAGTAGAGTAGAGTAGGGTAGGGTAGGGTAGAGTAGAGTAGAGTAGGGTAGGGTAGAGTAGAGTAGGGTAGGTAGAGTAGAGTGGGCAGGGCAGGGCAGGGCAGGGCAGGGCAGGGCAGGGCAGGGCAGGGCAGGGCAGGGCAGGGCAGGGTCGGGTAGAGTAGAGTAGGGTAGAGTATAGTATAGTATAGTATAGTAGGGTAGGATAGAGTTTTTTTTACCCCATATGTAACTCTGTTGTTTTTATTGCACTGCTTTGCTTTATCTTGGCCAGGTCGCAGTTGTAAATGAGAACCTGTTCTCAACTGGCTTACCTGGTTAAATAAAGGTGAAATAATTTTTTTTTTAAAATTAAAATAAATAGTAGGGTAGAGTAGAGTAGGGTAGAGTAGGGCAGGGCAGGGCAGGGCAGGGTAGGGTAGGGTAGGGTAGGGTATAGTAGAGTAGAGTAGAGTTGGGTAGGGTAGGGTAGAGTAAAGTAGGGTAGAGTAGAGTAGAGTAGAGTAGAGTAGAGTAGGGTAGAGTAGAGTAGGGTAGAGTAGAGTAGAGTAGGGTATAGTAGAGTAGAGTAGAGTAGAGTAGAGTAGAGTAGAGTAGAGTAGGGTAGAGTATAGTAGGGTAGAGTAGAGTAGAGTAGGGTAGAGCAGGGTAGGGTAGGGTAGAATAGAATAGGGTAGAGTAGAGTAGAGTAGAGTAGAGTAGGGTAGAGTAGAGTAGAGTAGGGTAGAGGATAGTAGGGTAGAGTAGAGTAGGGTAGAGTAGGGTAGGGTAGAGTAGAGTAGAGTTGGGTAGGGTAGGGTAGAGTAGAGTAGAGTTGGGTAGGGTAGAGTTAAGTAGAGTTGGGTAGGGTAGAGTATAGTAGTGTAGGGTAGAGTAGTGTAGTGTAGGGTAGAGTAGGGTATGGTAGGGTAGGGTAGGGTAGGGTAGGGTAGGGTAGGGTAGGGTATAGTAGAGTAGAGTAGAGTTGGGTAGAGTAGAGTAGAGTAGGGCAGGGCAGGGCAGGGCAGGGCAGGGTAGGGTAGGGTAGGGTAGGGTAGGGTAGGGTAGGGTAGGGTAGAGTAGAGTAGAGTAGAGTAGAGTAGAGTAGAGTAGTAGAGTAGAGTAGAGTAGAGTAGAGTTGGGTAGAGTAGAGTAGGGTAGGGTAGGGTAGAGTAGAGTAGGGTAGGGTAGAGTAGAGTAGAGTTGGGTAGAGTAGAGTAGGGTAGGGCAGGGTAGAGTAGGGTAGGGTAGGGTAGAGTAGAGTAGAGTTGGGTAGAGTAGAGTAGAGTTGGGTAGGGTAGAGTATAGTATAGTATAGTAGGGTAGGGTAGGGTAGAGTAGAGTAGGGTAGGGTAGTAGAGTAGAGTAGAGTTGGGTAGAGTAGAGTAGGGTAGGGCAGGGTAGAGTAGGGTAGGGTAGGGTAGAGTATAGTAGTGTAGAGTAGAGTAGAGTAGAGTAGAGTAGAGTAGAGTAGAGTAGAGTAGAGTAGAGTAGGGTAGGGTAGAGTAGAGTAGAGCAGAGCAGAGCAGGGTAGGGTAGGGTAGGGTAGGGTAGAGTTGGGTAGAGTTGGGTAGGGTAGAGTAGAGTAGAGCAGGGCAGAGCAGGGTAGGGTAGGGTAGGGTAGGGTAGGGTAGGGTAGGGTAGAGTTGGGTAGGGTAGAGTAGAGTAGAGTTGGGTAGGGTAGAGTATAGTATAGTATAGTAGGGTAGGGTAGGGTAGGGTAGGGTAGGGTAGGGTAGGGTAGGGTAGGGTAGGGTAGGGTAGAGTAGAGTTGGGTAGGGTAGAGTAGAGTAGAGTAGAATAGAGTTGGGTAGGGTAGAGTATAGTATAGTATAGTAGGGTAGGGTAGGGTAGGGTAGGGTAGGGTAGGGTAGGGTAGGGTAAAGTAGAGTAGGGTTGAGTAGAGTAGGGTAGAGTAGGGTAGGGTAGAGTAGGGTAGAGTAGAGTAGGGTAGGGAAGAGTATAGTAGAGTAGGGTAGGGTAGGGTAGGGTAGGGTAGGGTAGGGTAGAGTTGGGTAGGGTAGAGTAGAGTAGAGTAGAGTAGAGTAGAGTAGAGTTGGGTAGGGTAGAGTATAGTATAGTATAGTAGGGTAGGGTAGGGTAGGGTAGGGTAAAGTAGAGTAGGGTTGAGTAGAGTAGGGTAGGGTAGGGTAGGGTAGGGTAGAGTAGGGTAGGGTAGAGTAGGGTAGAGTAGAGTAGGGTAGGGAAGAGTATAGTAGAGTAGGGTAGGGTAGGGTAGAGTAGAGTAGAGTAGAGTAGAGTAGAGTAGAGTAGAGCAGGGCAGTGTAGGGTAGGGTAGGATAGAGTAGGGTAGGGTAGGGTAGGGTAGAGTAGAGTAGAGTAGAGTTGGGTAGGGTAGATTAAAGTAGAGTAAAGTAGAGTAGAGTAGGGTAGGGTAGGGTAGGGTAGGGTAGGGTAGAGTAGAGTAGAGTGGGGTGTATGCTGGTATAGCCTAGCTCTCAAGGACACAAGCAAACATAAAGAGAGGCCTAATCAAATACCTGACCACGTACTCAGTCAAAGCTCCAGTCAACCAAACAATGAGCAGCATAATTTGAAGGCTCTTTAGCCGAAACATTGAAATAAATCCACAACAGGAGAGATGAGTGTGGGACTTTTTTTTTTCATTTGTGCTGCACAATTTCCCACCAGCATTCAGACAGGCAGTGAGAGACAAAGTAACTTGATCAATAGCTCATTGATTAACATTGTAACCTCCTCCCTACAGCTCCTAGAGTGGCACCTGCAGCTGGACAGGGCTCTGCCCGCCCCCCTGGGTGTGGTGGGGGAGTGGCTACACCAGGCTGAGGGGGCACTACGCCAGGAGGTCACTATTCAACAGGCACCTGACGGGACAGCTAACACTGTCCACATGACCCTGGAGCAACACAAGGTGGGCAATTTGAGCAAGGTGACAATGAGAATCCATTTAACATACACACATCCTTATTAGGTCAGTTCTTATGTACTGTACTATCCTCTGCTTGTGTGTCTACAGGACATGCTCAAAGGTCTTGAAGGTCACCAGCAGGTCTTCCAGAGGATCCATAAAGACAGAAGTGTCAACGGAGTCCCTGTCCCCCCAGAGCAGCTGCAGGACATGGCAGAGAGGTGGGTCTAACTGTGGCTACCAAATGGCTCAAGTTTCCCTGAACAACCATTCAACACCCAAACCACTATTATTTATTTACAGAACATTGACCAGATTACCAGCACTAACTTCGTTGGTTTAAGCTTGTCCTTGTCCATTCAATGCTCACATGTTGACAATTCAGTATTTTGTCTTTAAGAATGAACTTTGTATCGACATCGTCAAACATTCACCTGGCCAAGATGGAGTTCTGGGAGAATAAGCACCAAATGCAGGCGTTCCTGATGCTGGCAGAGTCCAAGCTCAAATCCTGGATCATCAAATATGGCCGACGACAATCAGTAGAGTTAATGTTACAGAACTATGTTGTGAGTCCAACAATATACAGTATTCCTCTCCTTTTAAATGTCACCAATATTTCATCTTACTTTCCCATTAGTTTCATGTGAAGCATTTTGAATGAATAGGTATCTAGGTTAGACAAAAAATATGTCCTGAATGTTATTCTAATCAACCCCTGATAAGGCTTTTGTTTCTCCTCTCTCATTCAGTTGTTTGTTGAGGGACAGCAGTTCTTTGAGCAGTACGAGATATTGTTCCAGGCTCTGAAACAATCTTCTGAGCTCTATGTCAAGGCTGATGGCACAGGTGAGTTTTTACAAGATCAAGCTTAATTTGGCAAGCTTTACCTCATTATCTCATCCCTCTATGTTTTCCTATCTACACTACCTACCTGACAAGCAACTGTCTTTGTCTTTTCCCTTTTGATTTAGGCAGTATTTATTGGCAATTTTAGACCACTTAATCTTATCTGGACCCTGGGGCCTAAATCTCCATATCTAGCCCACCACCATTTCCAGTACTGAATATTTTACCTATATATCACCTCTGATCAATTTCCCAAGAACGGCTCAATAGCCAATCACCCGCTATCGTCCAGCATCTCCCAGCATATTCTATCCTCCCTGTCTTTTCTAGTGGTTTGTCCTCTCCAGGCTAAAGTCTAAATGAGGTTTCTCTACTCTCAGCTCTCAGTGGGGAATTCGACCCCATTAGCCGAGCTGCTCTACTTTTGCTGTCTCTGGGCGCTAACATGCTAGCTAGCTTGTTGATTTCATTCAGTTCTAGCCCTGCAGGCTTTATATTAGGGTATGCAGGGGAGAAGAGCTGAGGTGTATCTGACAATCTGAAACGTGATTGGTCGACCTCCGAAAAATGAGGCTCCCCATGAGTGAGTCCAGCCCCAGCTGGTGGTGGGTTTGCTGTGATTTGATTGGTCAGGTTCAGGCTCGTCTCCTGGTTATTTCTGAAGGGTAGCTAGCCCTCAAATGATTGCAGAACGGGGGATATTATATGTTTTCTGCCATTTGGAATGATTGCACTAGCTTGATGTGCAGATGTAATTGGGTTTCTCAGTTCTATAGACCACACCAGCATTCTGTAGTCTTGATGTGCATATGAATGTACTGTGTGGATTCCTTTTTCCTCTGATTATTGATATTCTAAATTTATAACCACTGTTTTCATTCAAATAGGTTTGCCAAGAGACCTTGTTTGATCTCTCACTACCCTGTGTGTGTGCGTGCGTGCGTGTGTATGTGTGAATGTCTGTGTATTTATCCCATAACTCTATGTCTCCTCCTCTCCCAGTGGACGAAGGCGAGGCGGGGGTTAGGAGGTTCATGCGGGAGGTGGTGACCCAGTGGAGGAGTCTGTCTGTGGAGGTGCGCAGTGTAAGGAGCATGCTGGATGAGGTGCTCTCTAACTGGGAGAGATACAGCTGCGCTGTGGCCTCTCTACAGGTCTGGCTGGAGGATGCAGAGGGAGCGCTCAGCCAGCCTGAAAACATAAAACGGGTATGTCTTACTGTAGACCCCCTCACTTGATCCCCATTCACCTGCTTATAAACATTGTAGATTGAGGTAGGCCTCGCATGTCACCAATGAAACAACCACACCTTAACTTCTGCTTTTCTGAAAATGGACCTGAGAAAACTGGTGAAAGCTCTTTTGGAGGGGGTCTTTAACCTTACCATCTTCTGATATACCCAATTCTGACACCCCAATTTCAAAAGGATTTATTAGATTTCAACATCCAAATCATCCTCCAACCAACCATCAAGATTCCCTGCAACTTCCCCATGTCACTGAGGACATCCCAGCTGTCAGGTCACCATGGATACCCCAACTCACAGATCACTGTATAACCCTAATAACTAAACCACTGAGGACAAGACAGATAATTACCCCAACCACTAAATTAATACCCAATGTCATTAATGTCATTACTCTCTCTGTACTTCAATCTTTTTCCATTCCTCCTCTCATCTCTCTCGCTCTCGCTCTCGCTCTCGCTCTCGCTCTCTCTCTCTCTCTCTCTCTCTCTCTCTCTCTCTCTCTCCTCTCTCTCTCTCTCTCTCTCTCTCTCTCTCTCATTCTTTCCCTCTCCCGCCCTCTCTCTTCCTCCATCTCTCGTTCTCTCTCCCTCCACCCTCCCATCTCCCTCCCTCCTTCCCTCCTTCTCTCTCTCAGGAGTTCTTCCGCAACCTTTCTCAGTGGATGGATCAGCACTCTGTGATGAACGACGCAGGGAACTTCCTGATCGAGACATGTGACGAGATTGTGTCACGTGACCTGAAACAGCAGCTTCTCTTGCTCAACGGGAGGTGGAGGGACCTGTTCGTCAAAGTCAAACAGGTGACGGAGACATCACACACCTGATCATGGAGACACAGAACAAACTGATCACAGTATTAGACCTGTTGGACATAAGCTATGGGACACACATGTAGGTAGTGGCACACAGAGATAGTTAAGACCCATCAGAGATGCGGATAAATGAACACACCTGCCCTATTGCCATTGACACAGTTGACTGAACACAGCTGACGAAGACACACCTGTTACAGCCACAGCAGGTTATATTAAGTCTCAAACCAACACACTCTACCCCCTGTCTCTGTAGTACACCCGTGAAGATGAGCTGGACAAGTGGAGGAGGGACCACCTGAGGGCCATCTCTGCCCTGAGGGAGCTGCTGGACGGTGCAGAGGTGAAGCTCAACGCCCCTGTACAGGTCTCCTTCCTCAACATCAGGTCTTTCTTACAGGATGTGGAGGTAGGTCATGAGTAGGCCGTGTAATATGCACGTACAGACTATTATCATGTTGTCTGAGCAGTTTTTATGAAGTAGCATACAAACCTATATTTTATTCTGTGGTCAGAATGCTGTTTGCTTCTGTAAAGATACTGTGCTAGATAGCCTTCCAGTTTTCACAGTAAGCCACAGAGTAGTTCCAGTAAATACTCCACAAACATTGCTAAGGCAGGTATGATTGAATCCAGCCCTTGTAAACACACAACTAAGATGAGCTTTCTCCTTCTTTACTTTCACATCTCCCACTCAGAACACCAAGAAAAAGGTTGTTGCCATGGAGACACAGTACAAGTTGGCTGCCCGCAGTGCCCAGCTTCTGTCCAAGGATGCCCCGCAGGAGGAGGGCGCCAAGGCCATGGCTACCATGACAACGGTCAAAGGTCAACTCAGTAAGGTTGGTATCACCAGAGGGTAAAAATAATGTTTTATTAATCCTTTCCTGCCTCAAATCTTCCATCTGCCAGTGTCAGCTGCTGCAATGTTTTGTACTGGGGTGCCTTTTTTATACTGTTTTGTTCATCACCTACAAACAATGGACTAAAATGATCTTAATGCCGCATTTCCATAGAGGATTTATTCCAGTGTTTTACCCAAATGGCTCAGACTTTTCTGTTTAATGCTACAAAAGTTTCAGCACTGTACTGGATCTCTCTAGGAATGAATGACCTCCCTCTCTCTGATCCCTCTGCTGCATTCTAATTATGGACAATATTGATTCTCATGGAGCCTTGTTCCCTCTGTCTCTGTCCCAAGGTGAGGGAGAGGTGCCCTTCTCTGGTGAGGGAGTGCCATGGACTGCTCCCTCTGCTGGAGGAGATGGAGAAGCACATCACAGGCTTCTACCAAGCTCTGGAGAGGGCCAACCGGATCACTGCAGCAGGCAGAGACCCAGAGCCACAGGCTCAGGTCCAGGGACAACACAAACACAAGTGGCAGGTGAGCTAGGGGACTAGGGTGTGTGTGTGTGTCTGTGTGTCCTTTTCTCTGTGTATAAAGAAAAGTGGTTGTGTATATGTTACATATTAGTTATTTAGCAGATGCTCTTATCCTGAGCGACTTACAGTAGTGAGTGCATACATTTTCGGTACTGGTCCCCTGTGGGAATCGAACCCACAAACCTGGTGTTGCAAGCGCCATGCTCTACCAACTGAGCCACACGGGACTATATCCTACTCTGTGTGTTTATATATCAACTGTACTCCCTCTGTCCCTCCAGGACCTCCTGAGCCAGCAGCAGAGCTGTAAGATGTGTGTGTCTGTGATTGAGAGGAACCTCCACTCCCTGCAGAGGGCGCTCTCCTCCAGCAAGGCCCTGAGGAACTTCGACCAGACCTTCCTGCAGAAGAGAGTGGCTGAGATTCAGACCTCTGCACAGGTTAGCATTACTGTACTCAGGTGTCATATAGGAACTACATATAGGAACTACATTACCCATGATATCGCGTAATGTTGTCTGTGCCTAACAATATTTGTGCCATGTTTGTGCTGCTACCATGGTGTGCTGCTGCCATGTTGTGTTGTCATGTTATGTTGCTGCCATGTTGTGTTGTTGTCATGTTGTTTTGCTACCATGTTGTGTTGTCGTGTTGTGTTGCTGCCATGTTGTGTTGTGTTGTTGTCATGTTGTGTTGCTACCATGTTGTGTAGCTACTATGTTGTGTTGTCATGTTGTGTTTCTGCCATGTTGTGTTGTTGTCATGTTGTGTTGTGTTGCTGCCATGTTGTGTTGTTGTCATGTTGTGTTGCTGCCATGTTGTATTGTTGTCATGTTGTGTTGCTGCCATGTTGTGTTGTTGTCATGTTGTGTTGTCATGTTGTGTTGCTGCCATGTTGTGTTGTGTTGCTGCCATGTTGTGTTGTTGTCATGTTTTGTTGCTGCCATGTTATGTTGTTGTCATGTTGTGTTGCTGCCATGTTGTGTTGTTGTCATTTTGTGTTGCTACCATGTTGTGTTGTTGTCTTAGGTCTCTCTCTGTGTAGTTGTTTTGGTGTCTCTTTTGACATGATGTGCGTTTTGTCCCAGCCTCCATCCCTAAAGGAGGCCTTTTGCCTCTTGCTAGGCCGTCATTGTACTTGAGAATTTGTTCTTAATTGACTAAAGGTAAAAAAAATAAAAAAAATAAAAAGATTTCAGACTCGGGAGCTCACATTAACGGTTTTGAACACTGAAAATATCGTCATTGACTTGATCAAAGATGATTGACAGTTAGAGGTCACATACAACTACAGTAACTACATGACCCACGCAGCATCACTACATCTTTACCACCCTTTGTGCTCTCCCCTCCCAGGGTCTGTTGAAGGAGGTGGGGGAGTGGAGGAGGCAGGAGGAGGCCAACAGCACCATGAGGAGGAGGTTTGAGGAGTCTCGTCAGGAGCTGGAGAGAGTGCTGAAGGTGGCAACCACCTGCCTGAGAGAGGGGGGATACGCAGAGGAGCTGCTGAAAAAACACAGCGTAAGACTTGAAGAAAAACACCACTCAATCAACAGTCAACTTCACTCAGTTTAGATGAGTGGGAGGAATCACTTTTAGAGATTAATTTGAGACTATTGAGACTACTTGAAATGATTGAGATAATACAATAATAAAATGAAATAATTTTTCGCTCCCCCTCTGACTTTTTTGTGTATTCCGTTCAGGAGTTCTTTGGGCAGCTAGACCAGCGGGTCCTGAGTGTGTTCCTAAAGGCGTGTGACGATCTGACAGACATCCTGCCTGAGGTGGAGCAGCAGGCGCTACAGGACACCGTCAGGACACTGCACAAACAGTGGAAGGTCAGAGAGCAAAGTTTGATCACTTTCATACATACGATAGTAGTAATACTGATAATGCATTGCATTTATATGGCACTTTTCATTAAAGTCTTAAAGTGCTTTATAATATTACATGGGGGTACAATAGCATCCATCTTGTAGAGCATCCTTCTGGACTGCTGTTTCTTCATCCTTGTGTAATATTAGGCAGTGTCCTTGTCTCTCTGTCTATCTTGGATGCTCTGAAAAACCATGTCCATTTAGTCTCCCTGTGTCCTTGTGCTTCTGCAGGACATCCAGATAGAGGCGCCGTTTCACCTGCAGCGTCTGAAGGTGGAGGCGGAACGAGGACGGGCAGGGGCCGTCCTACAGGAGTGCAGGGCAGAGCTGGCCAGAGAGAACCAAGCACTGACCACCACAGGCAGCGAGACAGTCATCAGAGAACACAGGGTGAGAGAAGGAAGGAGAGAGAGTGAGGGAGGTATTGAAGGAAGGAAGGAGAGAGAGTGAGGGAGGGAGGTATTGAAGGAAGGAGGGAGAGAGGGGCAGGAATGAGATCACCCTAACCTCACCATTATATGTGTCTATCCTTAGACCTTCTTCAGGGAGAAAGCCCCTCTCAGTGTATGTGAGAAGAGGATAGGCAACATGGAGGAGCTCTGTCAGACACTCCCTGACAACGACCCTGCTAGACGAACCCTGGACTCCACCAGGAGGGCCCTGGCAGAGGTCAAAGGCCAGATAGAGGCCACCCACCTGAAGCTGCAGCAGCACTCCCAGTGGAGGGAGTGGAATGACAGGTGAGAGGGGACAGAGATAGACATTTCTCCAATGTCATATATATATATTTTTTTAATTATGCTGATGTGAAGTACCGTACTTGTAAAGAAATAATATGATAATGTAGAATAAAAAAATCCCCCTTGATCCAGGTTCTCAGAGCTCTCTGATTGGCTGTCGTCTCAGAGAAGCCAGGTGAGGCTCCTGAGGGAGAGAGCCAGAGATCCCTCCCACCAAGAACAGGTGGATACTACTGTCCAGGTGAGCAAGATGTGCTATATCCCAGAATTACCACAGAGTTCCATTTCCCCATTGATACAGAACCTCTTCATCTTTACTACTACCCCTTTCCATCCCTCTCAATCTCTCCCACTTTATCCCAAATCCTCATATCCCATTTTCATATCTCCCTGTCTACCCATTCCTCCCTCCTCCTACCCTTCACCCTTCACCCTTCACCCCATACCTCTCCCTCTCTACTCCTCAAACTCCCCTCCCTTTCTATCCCAAATTCTGTCATCCTCCTACCCCTCTCTCCCCCTTCCTCTCCCCCTCCCTCCCATAGGAGCTCCAGAGGGCAGCAGAGGGGCAGGAGGAGAGCCTGTCCTGGCTGAAGAGTCATCTGGCTGTACTGACAGAGGTCAGTCCTGAGGTGGAGGCTATTAGACAGAGGGCTGCCCTGGCCAAACTCTCCTCTGACTTCACCGCCCTCCTCTCCTCTCTCTTGGAGGTAAACCATCTTATTTTTTTAGTTATGGAGAGACAACTGTCCCCTTGTCATGAAGGTCAGAATTGAGAGACTGATCTCTGTTCCTTCCTTGCCTATCTATAAAGTGAACTGGTGATCCCTGCTCTATTACAATGTTATTATGCTGGTCTAGTCTCTGTTATATACCTGTATACATTATGTTTTAAGGACCTGCCTTACTATCTCTCTCGCTCTCGCTCTCGCTCTCTCTCTTTCTCTCTCTCTCTCTCTTTCTCTCTCTCTCTCTCTCTCTTTCTCTCTCTCTCTCTCTCGCTCTCTCTCTCTCTCAGTGGGGACAGGAGGGGTCTGTGAGGGTCCACAGTGAGGAGCTGAGGGAGGATGTGCGTTGTGCTCTGGAGGAGGTTCTCAGGGCTCGAAGGGAGGCTCAGGAGCAGACCAGCAGGATCCTGGAGGCAGATAACCCAGAGGAGGCCAGGCAGCTGCTCCTCATACACCAGGTAGGGGCTGAGGGAGGGGTGGGCTGAAGCTGCACATTCCCACTGTGTAACTGTACTGTCTCATGAAGCCATTGTGTGTGTTTGAGATCGACTACATTGCATTGCAGTCGGACTGCACAATCAGAATCACTGATATACAAATCACCTTGCATCCCAAAACACTACTTAGAAGATTAGCAATTCTGTGCTTCTCCTTGCTCAAAAGGATCCCCTTAAACACATTGATTTTCTCTCTGACTTCCTGCCTCTATCGCTCTGTGGGTCAACAGCAGCACCTGAAGCGTCAGCAGACTGACAGGAAGAAGGCGGAGCTACTAGTCGCTCACTGTCGCCAGCTGCAGAAGGGGGAGGGGCTTAGCAGCTCACTACGGGAACTAGAGGGTGCTTTCAGAGAGGTGGACCGCAAAGTAGGGGCCCAGGAGCACAATCTGCAGGTACAACGTCTCTGGATAAACTACACCGTATTCACACATGTGGGTGTGTTGAAATGCATGTGCATGTCTTCCCATTGATCTTTCTGTACATGCACCTTCCCTGATCAATGATTGGTCCTTGTCCTGTGTTAACTTGCCATTGATCTGTGTGCTGTGTTTTTGACTTACACGTTTTCTTCTTACCCTCGGGTTTCAAGTAAACATGTCCCTCTCAGCCTTGTCATTGATCAGTTTAAATCTGTGTGTCTGTCCCATTTGTTTGTGTGTGGGTGTGGCTGTGTGTGTGTGTGTGTTTGTGCGTGTGTGTATGTATGTGCAGGGTAGGGGAGTAACTGATTACCAAAAAAAACGTTACTTTACCAGCAAAAATATTGTAATCCAATTGCAGATATTCTTGAAAAACTAAACTTACTTATTGGATTACTTTTAAATTCAGAAAGGATGTTTGCAAAAAAATACATTATAACACCTTTCTGTTTTCTCAATGACATTCAATTTAGCATTGAAAAAAGGCACAAGTTTAACTTTGTTCTACCAGAGTGAGTCTGACCACAAGTCAGAGACCACTATGATGACAAACCAAATGTGTTTGATGGATCCTTTTAGTCTTCTTCTAAAGCCTCTTAAAGGTAAAGTAATCCAAAAGCAACTGAAAGTAATCAGATTACGTTACTGAGTTTGGGTAATCCAAAAGTTCCGTTACTGATTAAAATTTTGGACAGGTAACCATTAACTGTAACAGATTACATTCAGAAAATAAACTACCCAACCCTGTGTGTGTGTGCCCGTGTCCACATATGTTGTGTTTGTATTCAACGATATCTGTGTGGGATCCTCAGGCGACTCTGGGTGCGTGGCAAGAGTTTGAGGCAGAGAGAGAGGCAGTGTGGCAGTTTGTCAGCAGTACCAGCCCTGTCTTACAGAGGGAGCTCATCTTCAGCAGCCTGGACAGCCTCAGGACTGAGCTGGGGTTTACCAAGGTAAGTCTGAAAGAGATACATCCAGTGTGTGTGTCTGTGCATATACAGTGGCTTGTGAAATTATTTACCCCCCTTGGCATTTTTCCTCTTTTGTTGCCTTACAACCTGGAATTAAAATGGGTTTTTGGGGGGGTTTGTATCATTTGATTTACACAACATACCTACCATTCTGAAGATGCAAAATATTTTTTATTGTGAAAAACAACAGAAAACTTGAGCGTGCATAACTATTCACCCCCCAAAGTCAATACTTTGTAGAGCCACCTTTTGCAGCAATTACAGCTGCAAGTCTCTTGGGGTATGTCTCTATAAGCTTGGCACATCTAGCCACTGGGATTTTTGCCCATTCTTCAAGGCAAAGCTGCTCCAGCTCCTTCAAGTTGGATGGGTTCCGCTGGTGTACAGCAATCTTTAAGTCATACCACAGATTCTCAAATGGATTGAGGTCTGGGCTTTGACTAGGCCATTCCAAGACATTTAAATGTTTCCCCTTAAACCACTTGAGTGTTGCTTTAGCAGTATGCTTAGGGTCATTGTTCTGCTGGAAGGTGAACCTCCGTCCCGGTCTCAAATCTCTGGAAGACTGAAACAGATTTCCCTCAAGAATGTCCCTGTATTTAGCACCATCCATCATTCCTTCAATTCTGACCAGTTTCCCAGTCCCTGCCGATGAAAAACATCCCCACAGCATGATGCTGCCACCACCATGCTTCACTGTGGGGATGGTGTTCTCGGGGTGATGAGAGGTGTTGGGTTTGCACCAGACATAGCGTTTTCCTTGATGGCCAAAAAGCTCAATTTTAGTCTCATCTGACCAGGGTACCTTCTTCCATATGTTTGGGGAGTCTCCCACATGCCTTTTGGCGAACACCAAACGTGTTTGCTTATGTTTTTCTTTAAGCAATGGCTTTTTTTTCTGGCCACTCTTCCGTAAAGCCCAACTTTGTGGAGTGTACAGCTTAAAGTGGTCCTATGGACAGATACTCCAATCTCCGCTGTGGAGCTTTGCAGCTCCTTCAGGGTTAACTTTGGTCTCTTTGTTGCCTTTCTGATTAATACCCTCCTTGCCTGGTCTGTGAGTTTTGGTGGGCGGCCCTCTCTTGGCAGGTTTGTTGTGGTGCCATATTCTTTCCAATTTTTAATAATGGATTTAATGGTGCTCCATGGGATGTTCAAAGTTTCAACAAAAAAAATTATAACCCAACCCTGATCTGTACTTGTCCACAAGTTTGTCCCTGACCTGTTTGGAGAGCTCCTTGGTCTTCATGGTGCCGCTTGCTTGGTGGTGCCCCTTGCTTAGTGGTGTTGCAGACTCTGGGGCCTTTCAGAACAGGTGTATATATACTGAGATCATGTGACAGATCATGTGACACTTAGATTGCACACAGGTGGACTTTATTTAACTAATTATGTGACTTCTGAAGGTAATTGGTTGCACCAGATCTTATTTAGGGGCTTCATAGCAAAGGGGGTGAATAGATATGCATGCACCACTTTTCCGTTATTTATTTTTTTGAATTTTTTGAAACAAGTTCTTTTTTTCATTCCACTTCACCATTTGGACTATGTTGTGTATGTCCATTACATGAAATCCAAATAAAAATCAATTTCAATTACAGGTTGTAATGCAAGAAAATAGGAAAAATGCCAAGGGGGATGAATATTTTTGCAAGGCACTGTATACAAATTCAAATTGATGATGATCATGAAAATTGACAATGACCACAAGCACAGTGTTTATTAGTTGGTTATTATTCTCAACAGCTGTATGGACAGTGCCTTCAGAAAGTATTCACATCCCTTGATTTTGTCCACATTTTGTTGTGTTACAGCCTGAATTTAAAAATTATTAAATTGAGATTTGTTGTCACTAGCCTACACACAATACCCTGTAATGTCAAAGTGGAATTATGTTTTTTGAAATTTTTACAAATTCATAAAAAATGAAAAGCTGAAATGTCTTGTGTCAATAAGTATTCAACCCCTTTGTTATGGCAAGCCTAAATAAGTTCAAGAGTAAAACATTTGCTTAACAAGTCACATATTAAGTTGCATGGACTCACTCCAATAATAGTGTTTAACATGATTTTTGAATGACAACCTCATCTCTGTACCCCACATATACAATTATCTGTAAGGTCCCTTAGTCGAGCAGTGAATTTCAAATACAGATTCAACCACAAAGACCAGGGAGGTTTTTCAATGCTTCGCAGAGAAGGGCACCTCTTGGTAGATGGATAAAAAAAGAAGCACACATTGAATATCCCTTTGAGCATGGTAATGTTATTGATTACACTTTGGATGGTGAATCAATACAACCAGTAACTACAAAGATACAGGTGTCCTTCCTAACTCAGTTGCCGGAGAGGAAGGAAACCGCTCAGGGATTTCACCATGAGGCCAATGGTAACATTAAAACAGTTACATAGTTTAATGGCTGTGATAAGAGAAAACTGAGGATGGATCAACAACATTGTAGTTACTCCACAATACTAACCTAATTGACAGAGTATTCCAAAATATGCATCCTGTTTGCAATAAGGCACTAAAGTAATACTGCAAAAAAATGTGGCAGAGCAATTAACTGAATACAAAGTGTTATGTTTGGGGCAAATCCAATACAATACATTACTGAGTACCACTCTCCATATTTTCAAGCATAGTGGCGGTTGCATCATGTTATGGGTATGCTTGTAAATGTTAAGGACTGGGGAGTTTTTCAGGATAAAAAATAAACAGAATGGAGATAAGCACATGCAAAATCCTAGAGGAAAACCTGGTTCAGTGTGCTTTCCACCAAACACTGGGAGATGAATTCACCTTTCAGCAGGACAATAACCTAAAACAGAAGGCCAAATCTACACTGGAGTTGCTTACCAAGAAGGCAGTGAATGTTTCTGAATGGCCGAGTTACAGTTTTGTCTTAAATCTGCTTGAAAATCTATGGCAAGACCTGAAAATGGCTATCTAGCAATGAATTTTGAAAAGAATAATGGGCAAATGTTGCACATTTGGAAAGCTCTTAGCGACTTACCCAGAAAGACTCACAGCTGTAATAGATGCCAAAGGTGATTCTAACATGTATATACTCTGGGGGTTGAATTCTTATCTAATAAAGTTATGTTAGTGTTTTATTTTTCATGATTTTCTTTTACAAATGATAGAATTGTTCTTCCATTTTGGCATTACAGAGTATTTTGTGTAGATCGTTGACAAAAAATGACAATTAAATCCATTTTAATCCCACTTTGTAACACAACAACATGTAGAAAAAGTAAAGGGGTGTGAATACTTTCTGAAGGCACTGTATCAATTTGTTTCCAGGGGCTCCATAAGAAGAGTTGGGAGTATGTGGTACAGACAGACTCCCTGTTGAGGAAGGCAGCAGAGATTCAGCTGGGTCATAAGAACCAGACCCTCCTACAGCAGCAAGCCCAGCAGGCCACACAACAAGTCACACAACTGGAGGCCAGGCTCAAGAAGATGTAAGGATGTCTCCCTTCTTTGTACTTACTTTCTATGATATATTCACATGCACAGTACTTTTCCTGCTTCATCCTATTCAGTTGTAGCAATACTGTAGTAGAATGGTTGTGTGTGTGTGTGTGTGTTTGTGAGTGTTTGTGTGTGTGTGCGCAGACTGACTCTCCTCCTGTCCTTGTCTTGCAGTGTTGACCAGCTGGAGATGGTGTGTGTGTGGTGGGAGCGTTTCATCAGGGAGTCAGAGGCCTTCTCCTCCTGGATCTCAGAGAGGGAGCAAGAGCTGGACACTGTGGACCCCACCTCCTCCTCCTCCTCAGACCCCCTTGATAAACACATCAGCACAGTGGAGGTATGATGTGTTTGTGTGTGAATGTGCATAAATGCGTGTTTGTGGGAGAAATGCAGTTTAGTATCACAGCGTCATACTGTCCTTTATACTATTCCTCCCTCCCATTCACACTCAATTATATAGAGTCAAGAAGTAGTCTGTGCTTTGGTCACGATCAGAGCATCGCTTCGATGACTGTTTAATGAATGCCCTACATCAGTGTCTGTATCACTGTGGGCCCCAGTTTCTACACACAGGCTTTCAGATTGTATGTGAACAGATGAACAGAGACTGTAGAGACTGATCTAATAGCTCTATTGGGATCTACTTTGAATTGCTTTCTCTCTCTCTCTGTCTGTCTCCCCCCTTTCTCTCTCTCTCTCTCTGTCTGTCTCACCTCTTTCTCTCTATCTCTCTGTTTCTTCCTTCTTTCTCTCTCTCTCTCTGTCTGTCTCCTCTCTTTCTCCCTCTCTCTCTCTGTCTCCCCGCTTTCTCTTTCTCTCTGTCTGTCTCCCCTCTTTCTCTCTCTCTCTGTGTCTCCTCTCTTTCTCCCTCTCTCTGTCTGTCTCCACGCTTTCTCTTTCTCTCTGTCTGTCTCCACGCTTTCTCTTTCTCTCTGTCTGTCTCCCCTCTTTCTCTCTCTCTCTGTGTCTCCTCTCTTTCTCCCTCTCTCTGGCTGACTCCTCTCTTTCTCTCTCTGTCTGTCTCACCTCTTTCTTTCTTTCTCAGTCTGTTGGAGCAAAACTAGAAGAGCGGGCAGCCATGTTGTCCCACCTGGAGGCGGAGTCAGAGGCTCTGTCAGGGTTTGTGACCCCTGGGGAGGCGGGGCGTATCCGGGCGCGGCTGTCTCAGATGGAGCGGTACTGGGAGGAGCTGAAGGAGAGCGTAGAACAGCTGGGGGGACAGCTCAACCAGAACGCCACCTACAGGCAGAGGTTTAACGACAACCTGGAACAGGTAAGACACACCTCTATTGTGACTAGAATTGCCACGGCAATCTCCCATTGACTTTAATGCATGATTTACGCAAAAGTCCACGTTTCATACACTTATCTCAAGCTAAGATTTGTTCATTACATCTGGTTTACTGTAAATTATATATGTGTTAGTACACTGTAGTAAGTGGTGATTTTGAATGATGTCTTCATCAGGTGAAGAGAACGATGGCTGACCTCAAAGAGAAGCTGGACATCACCATCACCTGCTGTACATCCTCCTCAGAGACCTACAGAGTTCTCCAGGACCATATGGTACACAATGACTCATGTCCTTCTTTCTCAGCATGCTGCACTACAATATAATGTGTCCACACTGCTACATCAACTAAAATAATTGCATATGACATATGTTTATCATGTTAGGATAAGATATGGTAGTCACATTTGTTTGTGCGTACATGACATTTCTATGTTGGCAATTCTTCCAGGACGTAACCCAGGCCTTGGAGCAGCTGAAGCCCAGGCTGGTGGCTCTGTGCTTGAGTAAAAAGAGGCTGGGTGAAGGGGATCTGCTGGAGGGAGAGGTGGCTAACCTCCAGAAGGACCAGGGAGAATACATAGAGCAGGCTGCAGAGAAAAAGGCTACACTGGAGAAACTGCTGGCACTATGGCAAAAGTAAGGAGACAATGTGTGTGTGTGTTTGTGCATGCGTACACCCGTGTGTGTATGCATGTCTGTGTCTGCGTGTGTGTGTGTGTGTGTGTGTGTGTGTGTGTGTGTGTGTGTGTGTGTGTGTGTGTGTGTGTGTGTGTGTGTGTGTATACAGGAGACCTCATCTGGTACCCTGGAGGTTTTTGTATTGGGGATTAGTAGTGCAGTACTGGGTGCTGTGGAGAGATAGGACTTTCCCTTTATGTCCCTGTCACTGACAGACAGCAGTAACACACAGACATGGGCTGCCCACTCATAATGGAAGTGTGTGTGTGTGTGTGTGTGTGTGTGTGTGTGTGTGTGTGTGTGTGTGTGTGTGTAAAATCACTAGGGAAGCCAAGACAGTAAAAAAGCCATATTACAACCTATGTTGTGATAATTGCATTGTTTGCCCTATAACCCATTCGTTCATATGTCACCGTGATATACAATAAGGCCGAGACAACAAAAAGACAACATTTACACAGTGGCGGAATAAATTCAACGACACCTACATTTGTTTAATCACAAAACTGGAGAGCAACATCTGTCCGGTGAAGAGCACAAAGCAAATATTGCATGTAACAAACAGTTACATGACCTACAGCATGGTCAAGCAAGTTAATGTTTTCGACAGTTTACTAAACAATAACTGATTTAGAACCACAGTGTTACCACAAGTCAGCAGAAAGACAACAGGAGCACTGCCTCCGCTATTCCAGCACCATTTCAACTTAAACGTTTAAACATCATCAAATCAACAAGGCTATATATGCTTAGTTGAATACAATGAAAACAATTTTACATACAATCCAATCAATGTTGCAAAATATCATGTGGCTGTCCATGGTACTGATTTCTGTGTGTGTGTGTGTGTGTGTGCGTGCATGCGCAAGTAAAACATTTTTTTTAATCTACTTGTAGACTAGTTGAATGCCAATGCCATCCTCCTCTCTTTCATGTTGGCAAAACGGTCTATGGCTCTCTCATACAGTATGCTTTTAGTTTTTGTTGGAATAGGCTACCTAGCTAAAATGCTTGTTAGCCTAACTTCCTCGCATGGGCAACAGTGAACCAGCTAATTTAGCTAGCTAGTTAACATGAGCCTACTAGGCTATATCTAGGCTACATATTGAACTTTAATCATCTCAGGCCAGTGGCACAATATAAACATTTATGGTTAGATCAGAATCGCAGTCATAATCATTGGCCTTGTTGTAGAAATTCTACACAGGGACACTCTAAGTAAATCTTAAATGAATCATTGTTTATTAACAGTTAACTGGAGAGGTTCCAACAAACTTGATGCACCATAGTACACGTCTGTCAGGAGCTCTATCGGGGCAGTCCCGTTAGATCTCTTATATACTGCTTACACGTTACATAGGCATGATTTAGCTTATTCATCATTCATAATTAATTCATCCTTAACGTTTGGTTCATGCATGTGACCGACCAGTACTGGTTCATGCATGTGACAGACCAATACCTCACGAGGCGTTTTGCTGCGACAGGACAACCCACAATTGAGCTCAGCTTAACACTCATTGGCTAATTCTTTAAAAAATGTATCCGGTGAGATTCAGCCACTTGCGAATTGAAGGAAAATTATGAAAACACAGAGATATTAGTCAAATATTTGGGGAAGCCTGGCTTCCGTTAGCAACCATGAATACACACCACTGTTGTGTGTGTGTGTCAGTAATATTATATTATGAACTAGAAGGTGTGTATTGGGTAAATATTTTTGCTACCAATTGTACTAGACCTTATTTCCTGTCCGGTATTTAAAAGTGTCCTCTGTCCTGTTTGTCTCAGGTATGAGAAGGAGAGTTTCAGTCTCAGGTCCTGGTTAGACAGATGTGAGTCTGTCTGCTGTCCAGACACTCACCTCCTCTCTACAGACAAAGCAAAGCTGATGAATGAGCTGCAAACTGTACAGGTAAAAAGTGTTAACATCAATCCACAATCATATTTCAATAAATAAATTATAATAAATTATACTTATTTAATCATATTTTATGATATTACAGGAAATGCAGAGTGATTTGCAGTCCCATGAAGCTTCTCTGCAGGGTGTGGTGAGTTTGGGGGCGTGTCTCTACCCTACAGCACCAGAGGGGCGGGTCAGAGAACTCACTGATGACATCACACAGCTGGAGGAGAGATACACCTCAATGAAAGACAGTATAACACAAAGGTTAGGAAGTGTGTTATGTTCAATCTGACATAATACACCTACAGTATATATACAGATTACCAAAGTAGGATTTCCCATCAAGGCCACTTTTTTACCACTTGGTACACACACACTTACACCTCTCTCCTCTGCAGGCTGCAGCAGCTGCAGACACACCTGTCTCAGGTGGAGCTCTTTGACGAGGCCCTGCTGACCCTCACCCAGTGGAGCGAGAACTTCCTGTCTGTCCTCAGAACCACTTCCCAGGTCAACATAGCTGACCTGCAGAGTGCTGTCACCCAGGTCAAGGTGAGTCAGACTAAGTTTTTTGCCTGAATTGTGTCTTAATTGTGCTATAAACCCTTTGAGATGACAAGGATTGATCCTGTAAAATAGATGATGAATTTGTACGTGAATGTTGATGTTGATGCTTTTAGGCTAAACTCTTCACTGCCTTTCCCAGGAGAATGAGGAGTCTCTCCAGGAGCAGACAGCCCTGAGAGAGACCCTGCAGCAGAGAGAGTCCTCCCTCCTCTCCTTCTCCTCCCCAGAGGCCCAGCAGCAGCTCCAGGGCCAGAGGGAGGACTGCCTGCAGCCACTCAGTGAAGTCCAACGCCTGCTCCTCCTCCGTGGGGAGAGCCTGGCTGAGCTGGGGGTCTTCCTCCAGAGCCACGGAGCTGCAGCCTTGGCGGTCAGGGGCCTCCGGGAGGCTGTGGAGGGCAGGGGGAGCTGGGAGCGATCGAAGGCTGAGGAGCTGCACCGCGGGCTGGGGGAGGTGGCCGGGGACGTGGCCCGTCTGGAGGCCCAGGCGGTGGGGTTGGATGGGAGGCTCAGCAAGGCCCACCTCCACCTGAGTGGGGCGGAATGGAAAGGCTCCAAGGAGGGGGGTCTGGGTCAAGGTCCCGCCCAGGGGAGGACGTCGTGCAGGGGCCAGGCTGTGGCCCTCATGGTGGCCCTGGAGGGGGTGCAGCGGGGCCTGGGGTGGAGGCAGAGCGAGGCGGAGGCCCTGGGGGCGCTGTGGACCTCCTTCAGGGAGAGGAGGGAGGAGGTGATGAGGAGTCTGAGGGAGCTGGAGGAGAGGGCCAGGCAGGAGGGGGCCAGAGAGAGCAGCATACAAGCCTTTCAGAACAGGTACAACTAATATCTCTCATAATATAGACACTGCCAGTGGCAGAATACAACAAAAATACAGCCTTTTACATCTAATTTTATGGTTTACAGTGAGGGAAAAAGTATTTGATCCCCTGCTGATTTTGTACGTTCGCCCACTGACAAAGAAATGATCAATCTATAATTTTAATGGTAGGTTTATTTGAACAGTGAGAGACAGAATAACAACAACAAAAATCCAGAAAAACGCATGTCAAAAATGTTATAAATTGATTTGCATTTTAATGAGGGAAATAAGTATTTGACCCCCTCTCAATCAGAAAGATTTCTGGCTCCCAGGTGTCTTTTATACAGGTAACGAGCTGAGATTAGGAGCACACTCTTAAAGGGAGTGCTCCTAATCTCAGCTTGTTACCTGTAAAAAGACACCTGTCCACAGAAGCAATCAATCAATCAGATTCCAAACTCTCCACCATGGCCAAGACCAAAGAGCTCTCCAAGGATGTCAGGGACAAGATTGTAGACCTACACAAGGCTGGAATGGGCTACAAGACCATCGCCAAGCAGCTTGGTGAGAAGGTGACAACAGTTGGTGCGATTATTCGCAAATGGAAGAAATACAAAATAACTGTCAATCTCCCTCGGCCTGGGGCTCCATGCAAGATCTCACCTCGTGGAGTTGCAGTGATCATTAGAACGGTGAGGAATCAGCCCAGAACTACACGGGAGGATCTTGTCAATGATCTCAAGGCAGCTGGGACCATAGTCACCAAGAAAACAATTGGTAACACATTACGCCGTGAAGGACTGAAATCCTGCAGCGCCCGCAAGGTCCCCCTACTCAAGAAAGCACATATACAGGGCCGTCTGAAGTTTGCCAATGAACATCTGAATGATTCAGAGGAGAACTGGGTGAAAGTGTTGTGGTCAGATGAGACCAAAATGGAGCTCTTTGGCATCAACTCAACTCGCCGTGTTTGGAGGAGGAGGAATGCTGCCGATGACCCCAAGAACACCATCCCCACCGTTAAACATGGAGGTGGAAACTTTATGCTTTGGGGGTGTTTTTCTGCTAACGGGACAGGACAACTTCACCGCATCAAAGGGACGATGGACGGCGCCATGTACCGTCAAATCTTGGGTGAGAACCTCCTTCCCTCAGCCAGGGCATTGAAAATGGGTTGTGGATGGGTATTCCAGCATGACAATGACCCAAAACACACGGCCAAGGCAACAAAGTAGTGGGTCAAGAAGAAGCACATTAAGGTCCTGGAGTGGCCTAGCCAGTCTCCAGACCTTAATCCCATAGAAAATCTGTGGAGGGAGCTGAAGGTTCGAGTTGCCAAATGTCAGGCTCGAAACCTTAATGACTTGGAGAAGATCTGCAAAGAGGAGTGGGACAAAAATCCCTCCTGAGATGTGTGCAAACCTGGTGGCCAACTACAAGAAACGTCTGACCTCTGTGATTGCCAACAAGGGTTTTGCCACCAAGTACTAAGTCATGTTTTGCAGAGGGGTCAAATACTTATTTCCCTCATTAAAATGGAAATCAATTTATAACATTTTTGACATGCGTTTTTCTGGATTTTTTTGTTGCTATTCTGTCTCTCACTGTTCAAATAAACCTACCATTAAAATTATAGACTGATCATGTCTTTGTCAGTGGGCAAACGTACAAAATCAGCAGGGGATCAAATACTTTTTTCCCTCACTGTATATATGTTGTATACATTGAGTTAAATCCCCACTGTCCCCTGTCTCTTCTCCCCAGTCTGCGATTCTTTGTCCAGTTGGAGGATGAGCTTCAGTCTCTGCAGCATTCCCAGCAGTGGCTAAGGGAGAGGGGAAGCCAGCTGGCCCAGAGAGACAGTGAGCTGGCTGGGGAGGCCCTCAGGGAGGTGGGCCTGGTGGAAACAGCCTGGGAGAATGTCAGGAAGATCATCACTGATGGGTGAGGGAGGGAGTGGGGGAGGGGAGAGGATGGGATGGGCTGGTTGGGTGGTGAAGTAGATCCAGCATTTGTTATTGTGTCAGTCAGCTCACTATGATGAACATGAGGCAGTAGCTGGGGTCTCTGTGCATTGTTTCAGAAAAAGTTACATTTACTTTGTCAATGAACAAAATGTTTTCTTCATATTTTCCATTTGTCCAGAGAGGATTGTTACCTGTTCACAGTCTTAGTTACATCAAGTTGTCATTGTTGTCTCTCCCCCTCCAGTCAGGAGCGGTGTGGACACCTGGTGGAGCTGCTACGTCACTTCCATTCCCTCAGGTCCACCCTCAGTACCACTGTAGAGAACGCCTTGACCGTCACCCACAACCAGCCTGACCACAACCACAACCCAGAGGAGGCCAGGAGAATACTCTCACGGGTCAGTCACACTGTAATTAACCGTGGTCATCTGTAGCTCAGCTGGTAGAGCATGGCGCTTGTAACGCCAAGGTAGTGGGTTCGATCCCCGGGACCACCCATACACAAAAATGTATGCACGCATGACTGTAAGTCGCTTTGGGATAAAGCGTCTGCTAAATGGCATATTATTTATTATTATTCTCCAACAGTAGAGTCCTATCTACTGTATTGTAATGAATGATACTGATACAATAGCAGGTATATCAATATTTCACATGCTTGTAATACAGTTAAAGCAATGCCTTATACAGTCAGATAAACTGTAGAGTCACATATGGTTCTTATAGTACAGTCAGCCTACAATGCTTTTGGGATAATATCTATGCTGTGGTTTCCACCTAGTGGCAAAGTGTTGTCATTACATACATGTATCTCCTGTCTCAACAGCACGAGGCAGTGATAGCTGAGCTGAGAGGAAGACAGGAGGACATGGACCTGTTAATCAGTTCAGGAGAGGACCTGCAGAGAGAGCTGGAGAACGTTCCACACTGTGACTCCAACAGCATCCAGAGAGGCATGGAGACACTCAGGGACCAGTGGCTGCAGGTGAGGGAGCTAGGATGGGGAAGAGAGCTTAGGGTTTCATCTCTTCTGGGTGTAGATGGTTTGGTTTTGTAATTCACTTTGGAGGCAACAGATTGTTAAATCACAATCTTTCACTCTTCCTCTGTACATATTTGTTTGTTTGTCTATCTCATTTCCCCTCTCTCTCTCTCTCTCTCTCTCTCTCTCTCTCTCTCTCTCTCTCTCTCTCTCTCTCTCTCTCTCTCTCTCTCTCTCTCTCTCTCTCTCTCTCCTCCTGTGGGATTCAGCCGACTGCTCAGCTGTCACAAATGAGCATGCAATATCAACAAGTCTAGACATGTTGTCTGCCTTTCTCTCTCTCACTCTCCCCCCTATCTTTATCTCTCTACCTCGCTACCTCTTGAAAACAAAGATTGACTCTTTCTCTCTATCTCCTTCTCTTAATTACAGGCCAATAACTGTCAAGAGAGAGAGACAGAGATTCTGAAAGCTGTTGTTGAACTAGCAGGTATATAAATGGTCAATTGATTGGTCTGTGTGCTTGTCCTGTCCTGTAGGTATCAGAGAGGATCCAGACCAACACTGAGAGACTAGGCCATTGTGTGTCCCTATTGGATGACCTTAAGACCATGGAACGGGACATCGACCAATGGGCAGAAGCCTCCATCGCTGACCTCACTGAGTGTGTGGCCAATCTTAGTGACAGGCAGGGGACAGAGACACACCTTGCCACTTTCCAGGTTAGACCCAGCTGGGCGGTCTAGTCTAGTATGGATGAAGGTCATCACATTGTTCACTGTTGCTAGACCTAATGTAAAAAGAAAATCCAAGGATGCCAGTTGAAAGAGTCTCTTACTGTGTTGTATCAGGCCGAGGTGGAGAGGAGAGAACAGAGGCTGGATGACCTGCAGGAGAGGGTGACCAAGCTCAAGGACCTGGCCAAGCTCCAGGAGACCCCCATCCAGCTGCAGGTACGTTTTGGGTTCAGAGGCCATGTTATCCAACATGTTATCCTCAGCAGGAGGAGACTTAACCAAGCAACTTGTGGAGAATGTCAACCATATGTCTCTCTGTTTCTCTCAGGTGATGGAGTGTGACCTGAGGAAGAAGATCAGTCATGCCCAGGAGGTGTTTGACCAGGCCAGACATTCTCTGACCTACTTCAGCTTCCAGAAGCAGCGCTTGGAGGACCTCATGTCCCAGATGGCCGAGCGGCTGGAGACCGTGGAGAGCTCATTGTCTGACCTGACTGGACCCTCCGGACCAGAGGATATGATTAGAGTCAAGGTATAATATTACCAATATTACCCGTTCCATTTCAACCAACCAGAATACCACATCTTGATGAAAGGATTTTTCTTCCCAGTCTCTCAGTTTTATAGAGTGTATAGAACTTTGACAAATGGTGAATTTGACTGTTTATCACTTTCAATGATCACAGAAATCCGTTCAAATACCATTGTAGGTATGTTATTTCCTATCCTAAGCTAGTAAAAATCTATTCTATTGAATTCTATTTCCAGCCACCCCTGAGTGACAGTCAATACCCTCTCTCCCCTTCCCTCTCCCCAGGATCTCCAAAGTGCCCTCCAGCAGCAGAGGGGTGATATAGACATGGCCAGAGAGACGCTGAGCTCCCTCTGTAGGTCCCACCCCTCCCAGGAGCTTACCCATATGTCCTCTGACCTCACCCTGCTGGCCAAGAGGACCGAGGCTGCAGCCCAGCTCAGCTCCAGGACCCGTGGGACTCTGCAAGACGCACTGCAGCTGCGTTTCAACAGTGAGGAGAGGGTTAAAACTGGGTTTTATGCTGTTATATTTACGTGCTAAAGGTTGATTTCCCATTGTAAGTTTCAAATAGATATAAATTCAATTCCCAGTGTTTGCTGTCTCCCATCCAAACGGCCCCCTCTTCATTGTAACCCTTGCTTGTATTACTGTATACAGACTCTGTGGATGGACAATAGCAGAGCAGCCAGGGGACAATGTAAGAATAGATTGCATAAAGTAGGACACATGAAAACACCAACGAGGAGCTGACATGATAAAGTAGCTCAGGACACTGGGGATAGAATAAAGGCTGCGTTATACTGCCTCATACATAACAAAGGAGTTATGACAGATTGATCCCTGTAAAGACCTTTTATCTGTACCATATAGCATCACATGTTGCTTTTAAATGCTACTGGTGCCTTAGATTGCATTTTGATTAGCCTTGACTTTCCCCAGGGCACACACAAACTGCACTGACACACTGTCTGGCACACACACACCTGTGCCTCTGAGAGTAATGTCGATCTCGTCACCGGTGCTCTCAGGGGAGTAATTTGGGCTTGTTGCCAAGGCAACCATGTGCTGCACCATGCAGACACACCCACACATCCCATCTGCCTCACAGAATCTCTCCTCCCTCGCCCTCCCTTGTTCGCTGACACAATCTCTCCCTTTCTCCCTCTACTCTCTCTCCGCCTCAATTCTCCTTCCCCTTGTCTACCATATCTTCTCCCTCATCCTCTCACTCCTTCTCTCTTCTGTTCTCATCCTGTTTCTCGTTCATTTGTTCTTTCCATCTGAGCAGAGGTCGTTCAAGAGTTTAACTCCTGGCTCTCTGAACGGAAGGCGGAGCTAAAAGAATGTTCTGACCAATCAGGAGATGTCACCTCCCTGGGAACCAAGGTGGAGAGGCTAAAGGTACTGTCAATCATATTTAACTGTTGTTAAGTGTTTATACTATTATTGTTACTGCTCTGTTATCTATGCTATACTGCTTTAGTACTGGTCTAAACTATTCACCACCTTTCCCCTCCTGTCCCCCAGGTGGCGCTGGAGCATGTGGAGGAGGGCGAGCAGCACCTGGGCCAGGTGTGTGACGAGGCAGAGAGGCTGCTGCTCCACCTGCCTAAGGCGGGGTCGGGACAGGTGCAGGAGCGCCTCTCTTCTTGCCTGAGAGACTGGGAGGGGTACAAGGAGGGGTGCAGACAGACCCAACAAGACCTGGAGGAGGGAATTGCTCTACTGACAGGGTGAGTGTGTTTGTATGTGTCTAGCAGATTGTCCTACCAGAATTGTAAGTGTGAGTTTGTGTAACACAAATTACCCTGTTTATTCTGAGAATGTAGAAGAATGATGTTGTTTTGTTGTGTAATGATGCTAAATAATTTCCCAAAGGAAATCAAAGTGTTCTAGCTAACTAACTTCGCTTGTTTTAGTTGTAGTCACATTGGCAGTGTTCCTCTTTCCCAGGTTTGAGGGCCGTGTGGAGGGGCTAAGGGACTGGCTGGAACAGATGGAGCGTAGCCTGAAGAGAGAGCCTCCTCTGGGGGGAGTGGAGCAGCCAGGAGTCCCTGACAGCACTGACGAGCTGGAGAGAGTGGAGGAGATCCACAGAAAGCTGCTGACAAAGAGGTTTGTGTTTGTTGAGTTCTAAATTAAAGAGCCTTAAATAGCACTGAGATGAGACATTCATCTTGATAAAGCATGGAGGTGGTAAATGTTGCTGCAATGTTGTTATATTTCATTATCGGTAACTGACATACTGTATACACACACTGTATGCTAGTCAGTCATTGATTCACCTTAAGTTGTTGCTTTACCATCTCTCTCTCCCCCCAGGAGTTCTCTGGATCGTCTCAGCCAGGAGGCCCAGTCTCTGCGTGAGGCAGGTCGAGGCTGTGGAGGGGAGGTGAAGGCCACAGCCCAGCTCCAGACCCACCACCAGGCCTTGCTGCAGGGGACCAGGGAGCGCCTGAGAGGCTGCCTGGAGAGCCAGGCGTTCGGAGAGACCCTGCATGGGGTGTGGCTCTGGCTGGAGGACATCCAGGAGCGGCTGGGAAGTCTGGGGAGCACCATGGGCAACAAGAAGGAGCTGGAAGAGAGGCTGGAGCAAGTGCAGGTATGTAAGGAGGGAGCAATGCCCCCCCACACGCACACACACACAAACTCACACAAACACACTCGGACACACACTTAACACATTTGTTGATCTACATACCCTTTCACACACTCTCCACATTCTGCATACACCCCCCACACCCACTGTGACTGGAGTTATACATTGCTGTAGTTCTTTAAACAGACACAAGAGAGCGCTGTTGTTTACTACTGTACAGGAAGTTTTCCTGCCTGAACACAGTACTGTAATACTGACCTTCCCCTCTGACCCTTTTGTTGGTCCATTCAGGACATCCTGCTTCTGAAGGGTGAGGGCGAGGTGAAGCTGAACATGGCGGTGGGGAAGAGTGAATTGGCCATCAGGAGCAGCAGTGGGGAGGCGGGACAGGAAGTGATCCGCTCTCAGCTGCAGGAAGTGGAGGACGTGTGGGCCACGCTGCTGGTGACCGCCATGAGCTGCCACAGGTAGAGACCCTTCCATTCACCATGTCAACCATAAAGTAATCTGATAATAACCATAACATAACCTAAATATTGTTTCGTAATCTTGAGATTTGACCTCACTTCAACTGATGGTCAATGCTGGCGTATTCTTGCTTGCCAGGCTTGGAGGCTGAGAATGGGACCAGTATTGGCCACAATAACATTAGCGTCTATTATATTTATCATATAAAATCACCTCTTTGGCTTTTGTTTGTTATATTGAGTTTCCAAATGTCACGCCTTTAGGTGTGGTTTAAGATCATCTGTGTTAGAAATCTCTTCTCAGACTGGATTTAATTCATCATATCAGATTTATGTCTAAATGCCATTAATTACAATTAGGTTAAGAACATAATGAGAAGTATTTGTCTCTTTGTATATGTGTCTGTTGTGTGTGTGTGTGTGTGTGTGTGTGTGTGTGTGTGTGTGTGTGTGTGTGTGTGTGTGTGTGTGTGTGTGTCTAATTGAGCGATTATCGCCCATCCTGATAGAATGGATTGATCTAATTAGGGACTAAATGGAGGATGGCAAGCAAGAGGGATCTCACATGGGGTGTTTAAGGAGGGGAGGGTTTTTAGTGGGAGCCAAAGGGTGGCAGTTGAAGTGTGTGTGTGTCCAAATATCTGTTTGTGATTTATCTCTTATATCCATCTAATAGAATGTGTCTGTATATTTGTCTACATTTTAATACACATCTACAATATATCTCCCCTCTGTATTATTCCATATGTCTCATCTCTCCTAGTCGTCTGGAGTGGACGGTGGCACAGTGGGGGTGTTACCTGGACAGTGAGGCCCAACTGCAGTGCTGGTTGGAGGCAGTGGAGGGGGACATATGTGGCCCACTCATCCCCCAGCCTGGCCTCAGAGAGAAGGCTTCCCAGCTGGAGAGACTGCGGGCCCTGCTGGCTGACCTCCAGGAACACCAGGGGTCCCTATCCAGTCTGGAGGAGAGGGCGGCAGAGCTCTTCAAGAAGACTGGGGATGCAGCTTTCAGCCAGGAGGCCCGCGCCGAGCTGCAGGTGCAGTTTGATGACCTCATAGCGCTCGTAGAGGTGAGGAAGTTGTTTGTGATGTTGGCCAATGTTGTTGTTTTGGGGAACCGTTGGTTAAGATGATTGATGTTTGTGACTGTCTTTATCCTTTAGGAGAGGGTGAGACTATCAGAGGGCGTGGTCAGGGAACACCAGCAGTACCTGGAGACTGTGAGGGAGCTCACTGATTGGCTGATGTCAGCAGGGGAGGAACTACAGCGCTGGTCTGATACATCGGGAGACTCCATCTCTATACAGAGGAGGCTGTCAGAAGTGCGGGTAAGAGGACTCCAGAATACATGATACCCTGGTCCTAAATAAACCCCTAGACACTTCACTTCCCTTACTCATCACCTCTGCTCCACTAGCTAAGCTTTTGGTATTTGTAATTTTATTAGGATCCCCATTAGCTGTGGCAATAGCAGCAGCTACTCTTTCTGGGGTCCATACAAATATAAAACATAATGCAGAACATTAACAGACAAGAACAGCTCAAGGACAGAACTACATAAATGTAACTAGATAAAGCTCTCTAGACAACCTTGTGCTTCTTGTCATAGAATGTCATTTACTCATTAATCCAAAGCTATTGATCAATTAGAGTGAAGTTTGTTTAATACATCAAGCGAGACAGATTCTATTTAGCTCGCCAGACATTTCTGACGGCTCAATTGTTCAAATATCCGGTGAAAAGGAACAAGAGAATTGATGTTCATATTTTCCCCTGTTGGTCGATCCCTCCTTCCGCAATTACAGAGGCGAGAAAATGTGTGTGAAAATATTGATTAGCATTTTTATTCACACACTGGGTCTTAATGATCACATTATAAGTGTGTGTGTGCCGTGTCTGTGTGTGAGTTTTTAATGAAAACGGAAATATAAATGCATGTAGTTCCCTATACTGTATACACAGTAATTGCTGCACTTCTATTTGGCGTATGTGAGCACTCAAAGTGATCATTTCTCCCCGTCAGCGCCTGAATGTGGCTCTCCTCATTTACTCCCTCCATCAGGTTGCTGCTATCACACTAAAGTGTTAGCTTTTCACACTCTCTGCCTCTCCAGCAACACCGCTCCAATCTGAGCAATACATTTTACATTTAAATTTTTTGTCATTTAGCAGACGCTCTTATCCAGAGCGACTTACATTTTTTCATACTGGCCCCCCGTGGGAAACGAACCCACAACCCTGGCGTTGCAAGTGCCATGCTCTACCAACTGAGCTACATGATGGTAATTTCCAAACAGTAGCAGTACATGGCTGCGTTGAGTATGGAAAAAAACTGCAACGGTGCTGTTCTGAACCAGTTGAAAAATGTGGAGAGGTTGGGTTGTGGGTTAAATGTACCACTGCCCTTTAAATACGTCACTCATCGCTTCAACCCACACCCACCAAATGGAGCAAACGTACTTCAAAGTCTGTTCAATAATGTTTTTGGGAAACGTGACGTTCAGTACAAACCGCCACGCAACGTAGAAACGTTGAATCGAACTGAATGCGCCCCAGGATTCTCTCCAGACCATTCAGGTTGACAGACTCAGATATTTATAACGTTTTGTAACATTTGTACCCTACTGAGTGACACCTTGGTTTTTTCTGGAGTTCAAAGGGTATAGGAATCACTGGTTTAAAAGAGGACTTTTAGGAATATTGCGCCTATTTGGCTTCCAAGTGTATTTTATAATAATAATAATAATAATATGCCTTTTTTTTTTTTACTGATCATCCTTTATTTAATGGATTTGGTATAAGTGGACAGGGATAGGAGTACTATACAGATTATCATTAGACATGAATAAAAACTAAAAACCAAAGCGCTCAGTGTTGTACCATCCCCTATATATCCTTTAATACACACACACAATAATCTGACCCGATGACTTGATTCTCTCAGTAGTTATATTACTGCACTCTGTGCCTCATAGGAGAGGTCCAGGAGTATCAATACATTTCCCTTTCTAGGAGACATCACTGAAACCTTACTGATGTGTGCCGTTCAATAGAGAGGGAAAGAAAAAGAAAATGGGAGAGAGGGAGAAAAATGAAGAGAGAGAAAAGGGGCGAGTGAGTGAGTGGGAGAGAGAGAGAGAGAGAAAAAGAGCATAAGAAGAAAATGGGAGATGGAAAGGAGGGAAAAATAAGAGGAAGAGAATGAAATAATATGAGTGAGGAGATACACTGAGGGAGGGAGAGAGAGAGTAAGGTATATAAGGAGGAAAAAGCCCTACCCTATAGGCTGCCTTAAATAGAATCAGCATTAGAATCAGAGACATTTGCGACAGCAGTGGCAGTTACCGTAGCAACTTTTGTTCTTCTCCCTCTCTCCCGCCATCCCTCCACCTCCCTCCCTCCCTTCACGTTATCAGGAGCGGGTGGAGTGTCGGTTGCTGGAGGGCCGGGATCGTCTCAGTCGCGTGCGTCGGAGCAGTGGAGCCACAGCTGAACACACAGCGGCTGGAGGGTGTGAGGCCATGGACCGCCAGCTAGGGGCGCTAGCCCAGGCTCTGGAGCAGTGGGAGGGGGCCGCCCTGAGAGCCCGCGACGGCCTGGAAAGGGCCCTCGCCACGGCAACGGAGCAGGAGCAGGAGTACGAGCGTCTGACCGCCAGGATGGAGGAGGAGCTTAGGGAGCTTGATGAGAGGCTAAAGGGGTGGAGCCAGGAGCTGAGCAGAGCGGAGGGAAGGAGCAGTGGGGAGGAGGCAGTGGAGGGGTGGCAGCAGGCTAAGGTAAGGGGTGTGTCACTACTACTATCTGGCTATGTTAGAAGGTATACTGTAGTGTAGCTCAAGGCTCTTGAAGGTGGAGCTGTGATGATGATAAACAATGATAATGATGGGGCCCTATTCAATAAGTAATGCAAAGCAATGTTTGTTCTGTTTTGTGCTCTGAGAAAACGTTTGCAGTAAAGGTGGCAGAGAAGGTCTGATCGATGTTGACACACATACTGTACACACACACGCACGGGGACACACACACACACACACACGATTTCTCTATCAGTAATTACCCATTTTATTTGTAAATCCAGACACAAAACAGATTAAATATGTAAATCAGCTGTGATGATTTAGGAGTGACAGCTACAATACCATCTCTGTCTCCTTCTCTTCCTCTCTCTCTCTCTCTCTCTCTCTCTCTCTCTCTCTTTCTCTCTCTGTTTCTGTCACTCTCTCTTTACATCTCTTAATTTCTCCAGTGCCCTCGCTCACCCCCTCCCCTCTCTTTCTCAATTTTTCTCAATTTTTTCTGTATTCTCTCTCTTTCTGTCTCTGTCACTCTCTGTATATAAACTTGTCTAAACTGAAGTCTCCAGCAGTACAGTAATGTGTTTTCCTGCTGCTGAGGGACTCAGTCTAGTCCCAGTGTGTTTCTGTGGATGTGTTTCCTACTTCCCCCTTCCCTGTCCTTTGATTTACAACAAGCACAGGATGTTTAGAGTTCACTCTCTGTTGTGTCAAGGACACCGTGGCTTAACACTGGAATGTTAGTCGCCTTGACTTTCTCCAATTGTCTCTTTTGTAATTTCTTTGACGTTCTTGATTGGGGGCTGTTTAGGAGGAGAAGGAGAAGTCCTCCCTCTTGTATTTTTCTCCTCCTCTTCTCCGTTTCCTGTATCCTGTAGCCTTGTTTATGTTATCCCTTCGTGTGAGCTCTCCTGCATCTACACGAGCTGACAGCTGAATTCCACCGGGGGAGAGGGAGGAGGGAGAGAGCGAGGGTGAGAGAGAAATAGTGTAAAGTGAGGGAGCAGGGAGAATTAGAGAGGGGGAGAAATAGAGAGGCTAGAGGGAGAGGGAGTAACAGGCAAAGAGAGAGAGAGTGGGAAGGAGATAAATAAGGAGGGAGAGGGGAGGAGAGAGCAACGTGTTTAGAGAGAGAGAGAAAGTGAGAGCGCACAGGCGAGGGGAGGAGAGAGGGAGGGACAGAGACAGAATCCAGAGAGAAAAGGAG